CAGTTCTTAGGAATATTATTTTCCATTTGAAAAAACTTAAAAAAGAAGACACACACTGAACAGAAATGAGTAGGTGGTATTTGAAAAACATGTCACCTACTTACTTGCTCTTGCCTTAACTCAGCAAATGGCAACTGGTTCTGGCATCCAAGATGGCAAGCATATTGTTCATCAGATTGGGAGTATGCTTCAGTACAGGCTGCAAGGGAGAAGTTCCCCAAATGAGATGATATATTCTGCATTTTAGTTAAGAAAACATTCTCAGTATAAGTTGGATCAGAAACAAAGCAGCAGTTGACAATCCCATGTGCAGGGGAAGATATGGCAATCCCAGGGTAGCATTTGCTCTGAGGTCTAATGACAGAATCAGAGCTTCAACAGAGTAGGGAGTTRAAATCTGKSTGCAATCAGAGCAAATGATCACCARCRTTAYCCTGKCTGAGCTCAGGGATGCAAGTTCTCATTGATCCTCCCTCTACMACTATAGCTTTTCTTCTACATATCACATAAAACATCAGAGAACAGAGATGGAATCCTAAAGAGAGCAGAGGGACCATCAGTCCATCAGATCCCTTTGAGGTAACAGCAGAAGCCATGATATCACAGGAAAATGAAAGGAGAATTTCCTGCTGAAATAAAGAAACTGCACTGAAAGCATTATGGAATAATTTCTTATGAAAAATAAGCCAACTCTTTGTTTTGCAGAAAGCTTCTATTAATTGCTCACTGGAGATCATAAGGACCAAGAAACCTAAATTACCTGGAGAAAATAATTTAGYTTATTCTGTCCATGGACAAATCAGGCAGATGACATACAGGCACAGCTCTCCTGCACAACTCTAAAGCTTAGGTGGACAATGTTGCAGTAGTACCTGAACTAAAGACTCAAACCAAGAAGCAACCCAGAGGACAGGTGCTTTCCCAGTTTTCCAGGGGAACAAATGGACCATCATAAAAACTAAGAAGCTGGCAGGAAGCATGGCAGCAGCAGCTAAACATTGGAATATTCAGCTCATGGCACCTGAGCAGCCATTCCACGCTACAACTGCCACCGAGTCAGTGTTTGCAGGAAGCATCAGAGACAGAACTGAGCAGATCAGCCAAGATGGATCTGCCAAGCACAGAACACTCACTCAGGGCACCCATCAGCAGATTACAGAACATAAGCCAGCAAAGACAACAGCCCCAGTAAGGAGAGTTAAACCAGAAATAAGCAACTGTTCCATTACTCTACATGTGCTCTATTGCTACATTACCCTGCTTTATGGCAACCTTTTGTGTGTGGTTTGACAACTATGCTGACAGGCTGTGTCACAGCTACACACAAAGTGTGACAGACTAGAGCATTAGCCCATTTCTGGAGTATTTAGTGCAGTTTTGTAACACATTAGTATCTYTGTATGTCAGGATTCTGCTTCCCTACCTGCCATCACCTCCCTGAGCTGGCCACAACCACAAGCTCTCTTGCTTTCATGAGCTACTGAGAGGACAGAAGCTCCCCTTGAGCGTGGCCTGGTGCTTAATTGTATTGGCAGTAAAGGTGGAGAGTTCCTACCTTTCCTTYCTGAACAAAACTGTGAATCAGCTTCTTCAATATTATTGGAAGGAAGTTCTATACAATTCCAAAACCATTACTAATTGGCCTGTATCACACACCATCCCWGGAGGGATTTRAAGGTGGGGCATGGTTTAGTGGTGTGCTTGGCAGTGCTGGGGAAACAGCTGGACTTCATCATCTTATTYTAACTTAAATGATTCTAAGTTTAATCTTCACTGTTAAATCTTTGCTCTAACAYAGATAAGTACTTTAAGTACTGGTTATTCATTCTCTCAGGCTATACCAAGCAAAACATGTACCTCATTCCCAAGGGTTTAGCTGCAGGGAAAGCTTAGAATGTAGCCTAGACCACAAGTTACAAGGCACATTAAGATCTGTGTTCTTGCTCCACTGAACAATCCATTTCTATACACACATTTGTCARGAATAGCAAACGGGACTGATTGTCACAGGGGATTATTAAAAAACAAGTGTTCATTTGCCTGGATTTCCCCCCAGGCATTTTGTGTTTTCTATGACAAACTGTTTCTAGCAAAATGCAGTATTTCTAATTTATTTACAGAGACTGGTGATACTTAAGAAATTCAGGAAAACGGCAACACTAAGGAGAAACTCACAGAGAACAACCCCTAAGAATTATTTTTTTTATATCCTGTACATAGCTTTTAAGAAGCTGTTAAACACAAAGCAACTGAAGGAATGCCACCAATTTAACACCCCCTTTCAGACACTGCTGCTCTCCTCTCTGTTATATCCCCAGATGATGGGATGTTGAAGGGACTGTGGAGCTCACCAGAGTCACACTCCTGTTTGGTCCGGTTCAAATCGGCGCCATCGTCCACAAACTGACAGATGGAGAAGAGTCGGCAGCCCCGCTGGCAGGCGTACAGCTCCTCTTCCTGGGGAGGCACAAGAAAAGGCTTGCATCCCTCCAGTCCACAATAAATTGTCAGAAAATAAAGATTTTTTTGTTGTTTGATTGGGTTTTTTTGTTCTCCTTCCCTTCAGCAGACCTACAACACACCTCAATGTGACATGGGATGACCTGAAATAAACCCAAGCCAAGCATCACTAACACACCTGGGGATTTATTTCAACCAGAGCTTCTCCTTCTGCAGTGGGCAAAGCTGAAACAGCAAATTCTATTTTGTAATTCCTGACCTACAGCTCTCAAGGAAAGTGAATTGTTTAAAAAAGATTTTGTTAGAAATTAAGAGCCAGTGTTGTCAAAGATTTACTGATGTTCAACCCTACAAAGAGTAGAAAACCTCCATTCTCAGAACATAAATGGTAAAAACCAGCAGGAGAGGACAGAAAAACTATAATTTTGACACTGGAATWCAATGTATCTAATCAGACTAAGGACTCTAATAGAACTACAACAGAACTATCAGAAAAAGAGATTATCTTCTGATCTCTGACACAGCATCCTGGTTTTCTGCTTGCTGCCAGACCAGCTCCACAAACACAAATGTGTACTTATTACATTGAACTGAAGGGCAAAAGTGCTTCTCCACTGCCAACTATTAAAATTAAGCAAATASAGAAATCCTACACCTTGTATTTCTTCCGTCCACAGCACCAAGGGGAGGATGTGAACTAAAACCTCTGTCACAGGAGCGTCCCAGCTCTGACCACACCCTGTCACTGACCCATGAATCAGACCTTCAAAGCCAGCAGCCACTCAAACAACTGCACAGGTGCAAAACAGGCTCCAAATTAATTTAATGACAACCAAACACACCACACCTCTTGTACAACCTGTTGTAAATGAACTGGCTATTGTAACCGAGACCACAAATTCACGTGCTTTAATGGCACAGGAGTAGGAGACTGTGAATGTTAATTAAAACTCAACTCTGACAAGGTGCTGTCACAGAAAACATATTCTGTAAATTGATATSCAGATAAATCAGCTTTTCAGATGGATTTCCATGACACTCTCAATCAAGTTTGTCTTATTTTCCAATCACAACCAAAACAGATTTCCTTCAATTCCACCAGCAGTGTTGTGACAAACAGAACAAACACGAAGTGTAAAAGAAGATGTGACTGTATTAGTGAGCAGCTCYGACAACACATGACAAAATTCATATTCAAAAAGTAAAGTAACAAAATTAAAAAGTACAATAAAAATCACAGAAATATCAGCCCTCCTGAACTTCAAAGGTCCTGCAAGAGAAACAAGAGCAATGCACCAGAGCAAGTCACAAATACATGTGTAAATTTACTCGTATTCTACACAACTCCCTGGTACTTCTTTCCATGGGGATACCAGTAACAGCTACAAAATCGAGCTGAATTCCACGGGGAAGCAGACAAAGCTCTGTTACCTGATCCTGGCACCTGCCTGCTGCCTTCCTGTGAAATCCCAAACATGGGGTAAGAGTTACACYTGCTACACAGCTGCAGCTGAGAATCAAGTTTATTGTCAACAAAGAACCAGGAAAGATGAGATTTTTGATCCCGGATTTTCCAAATTTAAGTCCATCGTTCAAAGCCATGCAAAGCATAAACCAAGAGCAAACTCTGGGGTATGAAATTAAATTCCTATCAGATGCTATTTGTGTATTTTATAATAAGATAAAAATTCCCATGAAGGCTCCAACGTGCTATTTGTTTGTCATCGTTTATGTTTCATCCTTCAACATCCAAGTGCCGCACTGGCGCCCTGACTCAGGATCTCTGCCCTGCCACGAACAYAGCCCTGTTTTAGTGCCCAAAATTTGGAGCAGCCCAAACCAAATTACAGCTGCCTTTTTAGGAACAAGAGAGAGAAAAGAGCAGCAAAATGCCCCAAACCCACAAAACCCAGCACTGACAARGCTGTACTTGGAYAACAGCGCTTCATTGGCAAGCGGCWGCCTRWCCAYMTATTTAYATAACGAARTRTCTGTCTTTGGAGCAGAGACGGAGCTGCACGGGAGAAGGGCAAAGGAAAGGCCGTGCCGGCTCAGGGGGAGGCTGARGGAAGCGGCGCAGGTGCGAGGAAAGGCCCGTCCGTACCTTGGGGTAGGTGTGCAGGGGGTAGGTCAGCTGGCAGGAGCGGTGACACGAGGCCGTGTTGCCCAGCACAGAGTCGAAGGCCTCGGAGGAGGCTGCGGGGAGCGGCTCCGCAGCGGCTCCCTCCTGGATCACCAGGAACAGCGGCAGGAGCAGGAGGAGGACGGGGAGGCCTCCCCGTCGCACCGCCATCTTCGTCCCTCGGCACCGGCCGCCGGCAGCCTCTCGCGAGATGTGCCCCGCGCCCCTCTCGGGGCCTGCTGGGAGTTGTAGTCTGCGCCGCGGGGCATCCCCGCCCATTCCATAGCGCCTCGCCCCTGGCAGGAACTACCGGGCGGAAAAGGCGAGGCAACTATACCCACCTCCGCGCGAGGCCTGCTGGGAAGTGTAGTCCACACCCCCAGGCACTCCCGGCCATCCCATAGGGCCTCTCCTCTGGTGGGAACTACCGGGCGGAAATGGCGGGGCCRCTTCCGTGAGGGAGGGCGGTGAGGCGAACATGGACCGGTTCGTGGTGCGCCGCGCCCGCAGCCCGCAGAGCCCCCGCCGAGCCGCGCCCGGGCCCCGCGCCTGCCGGCAGGTCACCCTCGAGTCCCTCAAGGCAGGTCACCGGTGAGGGGGAGCGGGCCTGCCCTCGCCTCTCTGGGCGAGGGGAGCTGTGAGCCCGCGGCACCGGGTGCGGCACGGGCGGGGCAGCGCGGGGCGGCGGGGGAGGAGCGGTGTGCGAACGCCGGTTGTGCACCGAAAGCTTTGCAGTAGTGAGGTGGGATCCTCATGGGAAGCGGAATTGCACCGGTGCAGAGGGCTCTAATAACTCGGCCTGGTGCTGTGTCAGCCTGGGCACACGGTTCCACACACAGTTCCACACACGGTTCCAGGACAGCCCGGTGACACCGCCAGCTTCGGCATTTCCAGCTGGCTCTCTTCCCTCCCCAGAAAAGAAAACCCTTCAGTTCGTTTCATTGCCGTCCTGCATGGGACCTGTGCTAGAGCTGAGCCCCCTCCTGGCCCTGTGCTTGTAGAAACATAAAGCATTTGCTGCCCCAAAAAGTTCATGGATGTAAGGCAGAAATCAAAAAGATGGTGTGTRAAGCACCCCAGCTGTCTGATCACTGGTGAATGAGATGCTTCACATCCAAAATATGAAACTTGCACTGTTCTGCCAAGGTCTGTGGCAAAAACAGYGGACTGTCAGTGTACTCAGTTCTGCACTCATGTTYCCTAATGCTTTGTTTCTCACCATGCTGGCATTGTTTTATRTTTAAAGCMAATCTGAGCAGGATTCTAAGGATAATCAGCCACCTCCCTCTTAGTCCCTTTTCCTATCTAAAGACATTTATACAAGGGATTCCTTAAATTCAAAACACTTCTAGCAGCCATTTGCTGTTCTGTGCCCATCATTTGGCAGTGGAGGGTGAAGCCYCTCTCACTTTGCTTTCTGCTTACTTCAGTCTTGATTTGTAGGAGTTTTCTAATTCCAAGCAAGTACCCATCATGTATTCTGTGCCWTGATCAATAATTCATGTGTTGATAACAGCCCCATTAGCTGAGATGAAGGCAGCGTCCGTATTTATCAYAACAATATTCCACTTTCCTAATGGCTTTTCTCTTTCCCAGAGAGTTGTGGTTGTGGAAGACATAAAACGATGGAAATCTATACTCGAGCTTCCTGGGCAACCAAAAGAGAATCTGRTGGAAGCTTTGGAAGAGCTGAAGAAGAAAATACCTTCCAAGGAAGTGTTGCTTTCCACTAAAATAGGTACCTCCGATCTATCTAGACTGTGAATATTAGTCTGTCTTGTGTCTGCATGGTTTGTCAGTGCACAAGAGATTAGCTTGGAAGCTTTTTGAGAAATGAGGAAATTGCTGCCAATGAAATATTTTTGATATCCAGCCTGCAGTTTTCACATATTGTACTGAAAAAGTCAGCTATCCTGTGATTCCTCCCAGAAAATACTGCATCATCCCTTTTGTGGTCAGAATTTAAAGAGCTCTTCTTATTCTATTTTTATTTTATATTTTATTTGAAGAGCTCTGTGTTTTATTCCTTTTCCTGATCTTGTCAGTGCACTCTTGCCCTCTAAGACATGGCTCACTTATCTGATTTCACTGAATCCTCTGAAGGTGTGAGCAAATCCCCTCAGACTGGTCCAGAACTGCTTCCTGCATCCTCACCCTGAGCAGTCCCCAGCAGATGAGCAGCTCCATGCACATGGCACAGCCCAGTGCTGCCTTTTTCCCTAGGACTGGGGGAGGGATAACGTGTGACCACATGGTCCCTGCTTTTCTTGAGCACGGAGAGCACCCCGGCCTTTGTTTGCCATGGGAGCGGCCGGATCTGTATCCACAGAGCCCTGGAAAAGGAGCTGCGATCCGCCCCTTTCCCCATACCTCTGAATTGTCGCTTCGTTTGCCATGTTCAGCTTATTTACGCTGTTCCCGAGGTTTTTTCCCGGTGGCTGCTCGAATGCAGGCGGGCTGGAAGAGCCACCGAAGCCTAACAGTGACATCTCCTGGCCACCAGCGCTCCTGGCCAGGGAAAAACACCCGTCTGGAAGCAGGAAGGTCCCTTTTGTCTCCTCACAGGGGAAAGCATCTTCTGCACTGCCAGGCCCTCTGCTTGGAGTCACCACGGTGTTCACGTTTTTAAATGCTACAGAGCTGCCACCAGCAACATCTGCTTCCTTAAGGGGGTTTCCAATTGAGAACCAGCATTTTTTTTGTAGGCCAGGCTTAAAATCTTTCACCAGATCCAGGATCTGTGTGAGAAATTAGTAGCCCTGTGTTACGTGAGTGTTGCTCCATACCTTGGTGACTTGGGAAGGTAATTTTCACAATTCCTTGCTAATTACTCCAGCAAAAATCACAGCAGAAGCCAAGAAGCAAGAACTCCATCCTTAACTCSTAATGATTTTGTATTTATGTTTGTATCAATGCTCTGGTTGTTTTGCTGAGGATGCCCGAGTTAAAAATGTGTGTGGCTGCTTTAGCACCAGCACAGTTTGGCTGGTGTCAGTTGTATTTTTCCCACCTGCCAGTCCCAAAGGAGCTGTTCCTGTTTTCCAGGTCACACCGTGAATAAGATGCGCAAACACCCCGATCCGGAGGTGTCCAGCCTGGCCAGGGACATTTACAGRGAGTGGCGATCCTTCGTCCGGGACCACTCCAACAGGCCCTCCATTGAGGTCAGGAGCGATCCCAAAACTGAGGCTTTCAGGAAGAACGCTCGGAAGCTGCTCTGTGAAGCCCTGGAATTAGAGGTACAGTTCAGAGCTGCTTGTCTGTGGCTCAAAAAATTCCTTCTTGTAGGATCAAATCAAACCTTTTCCAGCCAGAGCTTCTGCCAAGATGGTCGTGCCTGCAGAGTGGGTCCATAGACCAGRTGATCTGTTCCCATTTTCAGGGATTCACAGCACATCCCTATTTATAACTTCCTTTGCAAGGTAGATAATGTTTTTTGGTTGTTAAACAAAGTAAACSTGCTAATTGTGAGGTGTATTTGCTGTTATTTCCATAACCTGTCAGCTGATTACTTGTGTAGCTACTGCAGTTAGGTTGTACATGAGAAAGAGGAAATTAATGGAACATGAAGTTTTTCCTGCTAAACAACTGTGAAAGCAACACTGGAAYCTTTTGGGTGTTTCCTAATTAAATATTTATAAATTTAAATCTATAATAAAAACAGAGAGGCCAGGCTGACAGCATATAAAGTGGTGATAAATACCAGATCCCTCACTTTAACTAAACGAACAGGGCTTTGCTGTAAGGCTTCATAACTACTTTTCTTGGTCTATGAAATGCCATAATAATTATCCTTTTCAATTTATTCCTTAATTATCCTTTAAATTACAAGTCAAGTGATAAGTACTCAAGAATTTCAAAGGTTTGTGTTTGCTAGTGTGAGAATCCAAGGGGCTTTTAGTGATGGGTAGCAAAACCAGCATGGGTGAAGGACTTGCAGGAATACTGCTTGGTTCACTGAAATCTCCTGCATGTTAGACATGGGAGATTCCCCATCAGCAAAGGCAGAAGTGAAATTAAAACCATTTCTTGAAGGGTGGGGGTTTTTGCCTAAACTGTGCTGAATTACAGGTTTTGGCACATGTTGAAGCAATAACTACATAATTAACATTTAGCAAATCCCTTTCTGCGTTCTTAATTACACCTCCTTCTACACACAGAGAGCCCACATTTCCCTTTATAGCACCGGGCAGAGTTGCCAAGTGTTTGGCATGTCTTAGAGTTGCTGTTGGAATCAAGTTTAAAATAGTATCTGAGGTACCTTATATCAGCAAGAACAAAAGTGAGCTTTATGGAGACACTACAGCATACCTTGTAATTGCAGTTGAGCTTGATAGCCAAAGCTTGTCACAGATTAGTGTCCTGTTGTGATGGCAAAGTACTRCCACCCAGCTGGAGGTGGGGATATGTTCCCTGCCACTGACCACGTTGCCTTGTCCCTTAATTGCCAGGGTGGAATTAAATTGCTCTTCCTGTTACACTGGTGATGGGAAGCAGATTTCCTTGAATCTAAGCTGATTAATGAAGAAAGGCTGAAAAGCACCAAACTCCCCATTTCAATCAGCTGGCCTCCTTATTAAATGTAAAGATCTAATTTTATACTTTGCTGTTTTCAGATTGATCACCCACTGGCTGAAAATATTGAGCGCGAAGCTTTTCATCTCTGTTCCCGCCTCATTAGCGCTCCGTATCGCAGGGCCGTGCGAGCCCTTGTCTTCTCATTAAAGCACAAACCTGAGACCCGGGCAGGAGTCAAGGCTGGCACACTCGCTGTCCCTGCCTTTGTACAGAGCCATAAAAAGTGAGGTGTGCTCGATGCCGAGGGAGAATTTCCTGTGCCTGCATCTCCGTGGGGCTGGAAGCCCTTCCTGTGGTGAGGGGATGCAGGAGAGCTGACTGTGACTCCCTGGCACCACTCCATGGGCAGGGCTGCTGGAGGGAAGAACTAATGATGGAATGGGTGCTATAAATCCAGCTTGGTAGAAATCCATGTGGGCTTGTTGCAAGGAAAGTTTCTTCCACTCTGCTGCATGTTTTCCATACCTTCTGACTCACCTGTTTCTCTCTTCTGCCTGTTTGTCGTAGCTCAGTTTAGCTCCATCCCTGATGCAGACCTTCAGGTGTAATCAGCTGAATAACCCTTTAAAAGGAGCAGCTCTATGCTGTGCTGGTTGGAAATATTGGGAATTCAGGGTAATTGGTCCATRGGAGGGGATTCCTAGAGGATAATTGCAAAATCTGGTTAGCCCTAAATCAGCCACGTCTGCTGCAGCTGGGCCCTGCCTGTGGCAAAAGCTGTTTTGCCAACGTGATTTCCCTTTGCTGCATTCCAGAGCTGGATTCAAAATGGGTTTCAGTTATTTCAGAATAACTTGCTCTCTTGTTATTCCATCATCCCAGTCATCCTGTGATTTGGGGCATTTTCTAAAGCCCCAGRGTATAGGTGCTATCTGATGCCTCTGCTGTTCAAGGAGCAGCTCGCTCAGCCGTCCAAACCTCACTCATGATGTAAACATGGTGCTTGTTCTTACTGTAACATGAAAAAAAAAACCTGTAATGAATTTTCTAAATAAAACTAAATACCCCTTTTAAAGACTTCTGTTTTCTTGAAAAGGAACATGGCTCGGAACGATTGCATGAACAAATCTAAGCAACAAACTTGTTTAAATCCTTTCTAGTTATGGAAAACTGGAACTCTTGTCTCCATATTTGCTGTAATTTCTTTTGTGCCACAAGTCRTCTTGTTCTCCATAAGCTCTTACTATGATTGTGACAGGCATGTTGTTCATATCTTCACCCTAAAAAATTACTGTCATTACTTGGACCTGCTACATGAGGTGTTGAACTCCATAAATAYAATTAGATAATTGCAGGTCCTTTAAGAATATCTAAACCCTGTTTTGTTTTCTTGGGCCAAGACCAATTTTGCCTGTACGTGTTGAAGGTGTCCTTAAACAGCTGAACACAGATTCTTCATTTGTAGGAAGTTAAGGTTAGATGTGCTGGAGGCAGAAAGTGGCAGATGAGTGGGTAGTGATGGTGTGAGTAAAGATATAACATTTGTTGATCAGGCTGCAGCAAGAAATGGGGAAAACCCTCASTTTCTTACAAGCAATCAGCTCAATTTCCCACTTAAATAGCTTCAAACTGCAGAGCTGTAATTGAATTCTTGTATCCTGGGCTGTCGGGAGGGTTTCAGGATCAATGAATGACACAGCTTTTGCATCAGAGCTGCCACAACGAGTGTTTGTTTTCAGCTTCCTGGTGCTGGGCTGTGTTTTCTCTATATGTGTAACACGTGAGAAGCAAAATTCCTGAAAGTTTGGAACTTCTGRTCTAATGAAAGCTGGGCCAAAGAAGTTTCCCACACAGGTCAGATACAGTCTGGCAGTGCTGGATATTTTTCACTTAGGAAGTAACTTTGGGSATGCAGAGTTACTGCACACAAGCAGAAAACTCTCCTATAAATTTCTTCTATTTCATGGCTGATGTTTTGGCCCAACTTGTTTTGGAGGAACCCAAACCYTGGRTCCAGTTCTTTTATCTTSATGTTAAAGCTGGCAGTAACATTYGGGCTGAGGATTCACAGACTCAGCKTTGCATAAAACTGGAAGGAACTGGAAAAGTCTGGAGGAACTGGAAAAGAGTCCAAAGAGCTGAACTCAAGACCCACAGCACAAGAGAATTCAGAGAACTGGGGAACACTTTAAGGACAAAAGACAGAAAAGAAGCTGGGGAAAGAAAACAAAAACAGAGATGGGAAAGTAATAGGCCAAAAAGAGCTTTGTTTTCCCAGAGGGCGATGTTGAATWTGACAACAGGATACTTGATACCTGGCACTAAGGAAGATTTTAATCAGTCTATAAAAACCAGATTCCCTCCTAGCAGCAGCCTCACCTGCACCACTGTGTTTATTTATGCCTTGGGTTACCTGCTGGATCCGTTTGCTGCTCCTTGGCTCTTCCTTCCCTCCCRTGGGTGATTCAGCCCAGTCTTCGTGCTGGGTAAACCCTTCTGGATTAAAAGGGAGGATGAAGGGGGTGAGCAGTKGCTCCCTTGTGCTCAGTTTTTCTGGCGTGGAGCCTTTGAAATCGCTGTTTTTTACAGGGGAAACATTAAATTACTTTTCCCTTTTATTTTCCCAGTTAAGCCTATCCCACAGATTGTTTCCAGCAAAGGGGTACACACACCAAGCTGGCAGACCCCTAAAGACCTGCTGCACCCAGCAAAGAAAGSAAGAAGCACCTTCTGAAGGTGTCATCTCCTGATCCTCCTCCCTCCCCATGCTTGGAGAATTCAGGGTGGGCTCAGGGCAGCACCAGGAGGGATGGAAAAGAGAATTCACTCCTACCAGAGCTGACTTCTGACCCCAGCTTCTGAAGAGCAATTTTGGGAAGGCAGTAAGTGACAGCTTGTTCTGTTCCCCATCATCTGGCACAGCTCAGGARAGCTTTGTCCTGCTGCAAATTACTTGGGTGAAAGAAGATGGGAGTAGACAAGACCCTCCCTGTCCTTTGGAAAAGAGAATGCACAGCAGCTCACCAGTTTTCATCTTTCAAGAGGCTCTTCAAAGGTTTCTTCACAAAGAACCCAAACTTTCAGATCTCATTTGCTTCCCTGGCAGCCCTGTAATATGAAGGGTTGGCTAAACTGGCCCTGGATTAACAGACTTTAAGGCAAGAAGCAGCCACAGATGTCTTTTGGAGCCCAAAGGAGGCTCTGGAAACTTCCAGGGTGTGTTATGGATCAGAAATTGGGGGCTGGAGCGGCAGAGGAAAGCAGAAGAGAAAAGCTAGAGGGAAGGAAACACATGAGAGAATTCCCCAGCCACAACCAGCAAAGCCTTGCTCCTCCATGCAGGGCACAGCAACATCCAGGGGGATGAACCGGCACCTCACAGGAGGGGAAACTGAGGCACGAAGGAACWCTGACAGGAGGCAAACAAAGGGAAGCCATGCCAGGGCTACACTGCAGCTAATGATGGTCTAATTCTTGTGCTGGCAGTCCCCTGAACAAGATCCATGGTCTCTGTCAATTAAACTAGATTATGGAATGATCCTTGCTAATTACATATTATTATCTAACAAGCAGATATCTCCCTATAAAGGGTGCTCCCAGAATGGACAAACACTGTTATTCTACCAAAGCCAGCCCAAATGGTGGGGAAAAAAAAAATCCAAAATAATTTCTGCTGTGGCCAATATTTTGCCTAAGCTGGAACGTTCACTTTGCAAACACTTCATTCCTGCCCCAGATAGAGGGAAGAGGAGGAGGAGAGCTGCAACATGCAGAGCCAGCCAGGGAGACAAGGCAGGATCAAATCTGCACCCCCCAAACTGCCACGGAGAAATGACTGCGAGCTCAAAATGCAGCTGTGAGCTCTCCCACCCATCATGGAGCACTCAGCCTCCACACACCAAAACCCCACGAGCAGGGCCCTCGCTGTCCCCGGGGCTGTGATGATCAGGAAACAGGGYTTAAAATAAGCTTGGAAAACAGCTCCCGGTAAATGCCGTCATTGCATTTTTAATTGTCCATATGCTTGATCCATTATGTTTTCCCAGATGGCTGCGCTGCCTGACTACTGCCTCCTCATCTGTGCCACTGCAGCCAGGGTCTCCTGTGGGYACCTGGATCCCCAAGGTARGAACAYCCTYGTGACAGGATCTGTGTCACTGTGGCCAGGGTCTCCTGTGGGCACCTGGATCCCCAAGGTAAGAACACCCTCGTGGCAGGATCTKTGTCACTGTGGCCAGGGTCTCCAGTGGGTACCTGGTGAGTTACATCCTTCTACAGCCCCTAACCTTTCCATGCCAAGCTCCTGGGAAGCCATGGAGCTCCCAGGCATCAGCCTGCACTGGTTCCATGGCAAAAGTGGCTGGTGATCTCCTGGCCTTCCACACCAACCCCCAAGAAAACCACCCCAAGGAGCAGCAAACCCACCCCTTGCTCTGCCCCATAAATTGCCCTTGTGCTTGCCCAAATTTATCAGTTCCTGTTAAATTACCCATAAAGATYTGAGGAGAGGATGCAGGGGAAACTCAGCCAGTCTTAGTTCCTGAGGAAAGGGAAAAATGAAGAGCTGAAGCAGGGTGGGGAGGTTCTTCCTGGCTGGGTGATCCCAAACTGTGTCCRATGTGGGATTTGGGCTAGCTGGGCAGTGCTGCAGAGGGCCATGTGTGCTCTGGGGCTGTCAGAGTGACCGATCTCAGTGTCCAGAGCCATCCCATGTGTGTCCTGCACGGGAAGCAAGGAGCTTGCTCTGCTGGCTGCTGCCACCATSAGCCACTCTCCAGGCCTTCACACCTCTGCTTTTGGAGCTGAGGGATTTTGGAAAGGGTGGAAGACACAGAGCATGCTCCCAGCTATGGGTACCTTTGGAAAGAAGGGAAAAAAAACCTCCGAACTATTAACCAAAGCAGCAGGGTTTGTGCCYACTGAGGGAGCTTAATGCTGCACCCCACCAGCACCCTTAATCATGGGGTTCAGCTCCAGCCCTGGCTCCCAGGGTGCCACAAACATGTCAGCTCTCCCAGACTGTGGGACTAGAGGATAAAACCTGAAAAGACACAAATAACCCTCTGAGAAGAGGAATAGGAGAAGAGGGAAGAAAGAAGGACCGTGGGTGTCACCGAAGAAAACTTACAGTGAACATTCCAGAGAMTAAAGCGCCTGGGAAGGGGTGGATCATGACAGCAGGTGCTTGCTGAGCCCCCCCAGTGGGATGCCCAGTCCTGTCCAGTGCCCCAGRGCCTCTGGGCAGAGGGAGCAGGGTCTTGTGCCAGCAGCAGTGCCCATTTTGGGGCACTCCTGTCCTCATTCTTTTGTCCAGCACAGCAGCACAAAAGCACATCCCCCACCCSTGCACCCTCCCAGTGTGACACACCAGGAAAACCTTCCTGGTAAATGGAGAAAACACAGAGAGCGTGGCTGAGATTTTTCAGATATTTTAGCACAGCTTCTCTCCAGCAGGAGCGATTTCCCCAGGGAAGGAGAGGAATAAACCAATTGATCCCCTGGGGGCTCTTGCAGTCCTGTTTTCCATGATCTACAATTTTCCAACAGTTCCTCCCCGGATTTGCAGGCAGACGTTTGCRGAGGGATAACAGAGGCTCTCCCTCCCGCACAACAGCCAAGCCTTTGTCTGCTCCGGAGAAACGCGACTCCACGTCCACAAGCAAAGCCAGGAAATGGGGTGGCTGCATCCAGCCCGGCTCAATCCAGTCATCATGCTCTAAATAAATAATCAGATGAGCAACGGGAGCGCTGCCCATGCCCGCCGCTCTCCCGCTTGCTCGGGAAGCACCGGGCAAACGCTAAGGAGGGAAACTGAGGCCTGATGTGTGAGGACCACAGGCATGGTGGAGGGAAGGAGCGCTGGTGATGGATTCTTGATATTTGTTTGCCACTCATCCGAGCAGCTTTCATATGAGAAGAAGGGTTTGTTTCATGAAATGAGCTGGGCAGTTCCTTGCTGGGCTCCATCCCTAATCACCCCATCCATGACTCCTGGACAACGCCCTGCAGGGCTGGAGGTGCAACACCAACAGCTATCCAGAAAAGCCTTTTCCCCTGCAAATTGCAGGGTTCTGGAGGCTCCAGCTGGGYGAGGAGGTGCCTGTCCTGCCGGTGAGGGCTGGATGCTGCTGGGTGCTGCGGGCTCCCTGCCAGGCACRAGCAGCCGCAGCGCTCACCTGTTCCAGCAAAATCTGGGCCACCACCAAGGTTAATTATATCTTTAAGTTTTCTTTCAGTTGTCAAATCTTGTGAGTGTGGTCTCAAGCTGACAGTTCCGTACCCAGCAATTAACCGGCAGCGAGGCTGTGCAGGCAGCGAGGGGGGGGCTGGCCTTGTTTACCATCTCTGCACACAACAGGCTCTCAAAACATTGCCCTAATGGAGCCTCACGGTGCTGGCAAATATTTCCCTCGGAAATCTCGCTTTGCCGACGTGTTGCACCAACAAATGCCAAATCAATCCGGGCTCTGATAACGAAGGCTCCTCGTCAGGAGGCATGTGCAGCTTTGCGCCTTCTTCCCTCCCAGACACTCTCACAGTCCGGGAGGAGAAGCTGCTCCATCATCATCCTACTCCTCTGCTGCTGATTCCTCTGATGCCCTGTGAACAGAGCTTCCAGAGGGACGCAGGACATCAGTCAGGGCAGCCTTTCACTGGCGGGGCTCTCCAGTCAGTCCCTGCAAAATGCTGCATTCAGCAGCACGAGCGGTTTGCTGTGGCCCTGAATGACCACACTGGGACACTTTAAGATCTCTCCCGGCGCTGCAGTTTCACACAGGCTGGAGGAGGAGGGGTGACCTCTTTCCACAGCAAGATTTCATGTGGCTTTGACACACGCTGGCTCTGACCCACGGGAGATGCTGAAGGGGAATGTCCTTTGTGCCGGGGTGGCACGAGAGGCAGGCAGGGGTTATTCAGCCATTCATCAGGGCTCTTGGCGAGGATTCCCCGTTTTCTGGAGGGGCAGATGATCAAAGGATTCTTATTCTTGTGCTCTCAGGTGCTGAGCTCACCTTCTGCAGGCACCATGAGTGGAGGTTTGGTGTCACTGAGGTCTCAGGGGAGTCAGCCCCTCCTGTCAAGGATCTCTTTACAGGGTCACCAAAACCTCCATGCTCCAACATGACCCCAAACCAGATTTTCCCAATGTTTTCAAACTATAGGACTGATGCTGGTACAGAGTTCATAGCCATGGACACCTGGATATGCTGGAAAGGAGAAAAGAAAACACAAAGGAGACGAGGATTGTTCTCCTCCCCTCCAGCTGCTGGTGGCTGAGGYGCTCAGGTGAGACAACATGAGAAGATCAAACGAGGAGCTCCAGGGCACAGTGAATGCATCTCATCACATCACCCACAGACACCCAAAACATCACCTGGGAGCACCCACATGAGCTACATCTGCGTGTGCCAGGTGGAGATCCCCAYAACACAGCTCCACAGTCCCCCCCAAGCACGGGCCCGGAGCACCGAGAACATTTGTCRGGAACACAGCTCCATTTGGGGATGGTTTGTACCTTCAAGAATTCAGCTAGAAATAATTGACAGGAAGATTTGCAGCCATCGGCAAACAACGTTACTCTCCTGAAAGCAGCAGCACTACAGGGAAAACAAATTGAAGCAGGTGCGGGAAGAGTTAGGGAGCACAAGAATTGCATTCCCGAGCCAAATGGACAGATTGAGACAGAGGAAAACAAATTGGGAAGGGAAACGGCTGCCTATTGCCCAGATTTTTCAGGCACTAGGAGAAGGTGGAGGTTGGGTTCAGGCTCAGTTTCAGGGCCTGGGAGCTGTGTCTCTGTTTGGGCTGAGGGTGGATTTTGGGGAGCATTTCTGCCCTGGGCAGGACTGCAATCCCTGGAGTCTGGAAGGAGCATCCTACAGAAGCACCAGCCCCACCACTGCGATGACCATGAGGAGCCCAGCCAGGATGCAGATGCTGATGAAGACGATGTCGCTGGTGTCCTGRCTCTTGATTTCACGGGTGTCCATCGCTTCCCCCTCCCGCTGCTGGGCATCCACCAGGTTTTCTGCCTGGCTGAGCCTGGACGGATCAGGGCCAGCAATAAGGGTCACWGAGGCTTCCTTCCTCTTTGGCTCACACTGCACCTCGTACTGGTGGATGTCCTCCTGGTCTCCCGCCGAAAAATCGATGTAGAGGGTGCTGACAACGACAGATGTGTTGTTGCGCCTCTGTAAGACAAGGGACACGGCTCATCAGGGCTCCTGGTCACAGGGGTTTGGAGGGGGTGGCCACGAGCCAGGCCAGTGTCTACTATCCCAGTATCTACTGGGAAAATGTGAGAGGAACTGGGAACTCTCTCTGCAGCTGATAATCCAGCACAGGGCTAACCACGTTCACAACTTGCTTTACAGGAGGCTTTACCGACCGCTCACCTGGGATTCGGTGCCACACGTGTCGAACCTGGTGTGTATTTTAAAGTTCCTGCCAACCACCTGGGCTGCACAGGAGGGGATCCCCAAATAAATCCTGTTCCTCTCCAGCTGGGCCAGGGACTGCAYGGGGATCTGGATGTGGAAGTCTGTCCGGGTGCAGCTGACGTTCATGGGCACAACTGTTGGGACAGAAAACAAGGTGGGCTCATGTCAAGAGTTTTCAGAAAAAAAGGAGCTACACCTGGAATGCAGATAGCAATCAATACTGGTATTTTAGCCCTGTCCCAGACATGGATGGCTCCCAGACACTGCTCTGCTTTCCATTCTATGAAGAGACGTTGCCATCAACTCTCTTTGTACCTCGTCCTCCTTCCCAGTCTCCAAGTGACACAGATGTGCCATTACAGGCAGCACTATCACACTGCAACTGCCACACTCTCCATCATTGCAAAGCCAGCAGGACTTTTGAGCTGCTGCCCAGGACCAGACCATGAGAGCTTTGTGGATGGCTTTATGTGGGCACAGAGCTCCCCAGTATTCTACAATACCCCTGCAAGAGACACTCTGCAGTGATGAAACATCTTGCAGGGACCCCACACACACCCTGGAGTGACGCAGCTGCGTGGCTGCCAAATGGCCCTCGTGAAAGGATGAGCTGGGTGCATGGCCCTGGGGCTTCCTCCTGGGGAATGGCCCAGCCCAGGTCCTGTTCCAAGCMTCACCAGCCCTCCACTGTCCTCAGAATGCTAATTTTGGTGGGGAGCTGGTGAGCAGTGAACGGAAGGAGCTGCTGTTGGGCTGCCCATGATGCCAAGACAAAGAGCAAGGCAATGGTGACCCCACCAGCCCCTTTCCATCACTCTCCTTCTGGCACTGTATTTGGSCCCTCTGGATGTAGAAGGGAAAGAAGCAGGGAGGGAAAATACCCCCATCTTTAAAGTGAATCCTTGCTCAGCTTGAACTCACCACTTGGGCAATATGAATTATTGMATTATTCCAGCTCCCTCTGAATCTCGGCCTTATGAAACTGGGAAGATGCAATAAAATCAATATGAAAAAATAGTGTCACTTTGCTTCGCTTAGTGCATTATAAAACCATTAGAAGATTTACCAAATAACTAAAGTGCATTAGATCAAGGGGAGGAGAAAGTGGATCCTCTCTCCTGGCGTGAAGGCTTTCATTCAATGGCCATAAATCACCCACGCCCTGCCCAAGCCATGGCTTTTGGTGGGCCTGGAAGGGAAATATGTGCATGGCTGAAGGGCTGTGGGTGTGGATGCAGAGGCTTGAGGTGCCCCTTTGCCTCCTGAGGAAGCTGTGGCAGGGAGCACGGGGCAGTGGGATGTGCCACACAGGATGTTAATCACCAGCAGATGCCAAAATCGCCGGGCAAACACGGCYAGCAGGCTCAGCTCTGTGCAGGGAGGCTCAGTGTCACATCCAGCCTTTTGTCCTCCCCTAGCACGCATCTGGCAGGGTGTAGCAGGGGACGCAGGGGCCTCGGGCACTCGGGAGATGTCACGCCCCTCTCTGTGATGGGACATTCCCCTCTCTTCAGCAGCATCCCATCGATCTGTCTGCAAGCTGCTCCCCCTGCAGCACGGTTTCTCCATGGCCTGTGGACTCATGGCCACARTGACACCAAGATTCTCTCCCTGCACACGGCTGTAAAACCGAGAAATCAGCAGGACAAGGATAGGGACAGACCTGCTGTGCACACTGCAGCCCTACTGAACGTTCAGTACAACCTCTCTCCTTCCAGAGGCTGCAGCAGTTCAGGACAAAACCCTATCCCACCTCTAACTYCTACAGCCACATGCCTCCAAATCCTTTCTGCTACTCTGGAAGTGAAGAACAATTTGGCAGCTGAGGGATAAAACCCAGGGCCGGCCCCTCAGCCCGTGTGCTGCCAGTCCAGCAGCCCTGCTCTGGCTCCAGCCCTCCGGCGAGGCTGCCCCTGGCTGAATCATCCCTGACCCGCAGGTCAGCTCGGATGTAATTATCTTGAAATACAACAAAYGCCATAAATTTGCTGGCGTTTGAGGTGCAAAGGTTGGCAAATAGAGGAGGAAGGTTACACCCTGCTCCTCCCACCGGCTGGGACACAGRGCATGCCAGCAGCAGGGATGTGCCAGGCAGGGCTGGCCGGGTGGATTTGGGAATGCTGTGCCCTGGGGATCCTGCCCTCCCGTGCTGCTGCCARTGGAGCAGGGGACACAGTTTATGTTTGCCTGCTCAGCCGTGTGCTGGCAATGCTGGAGCAKCCTGGGGAGCAGGGAACAAGGTTGTGATGTTCGAGTTGGTCACCTGCTCCGGGGCTTTGGCTCCCTAAAACACCCTAAAATGGGTTTTCTCTCCCTCACACAACAAGAGCATGACAGTGACAGAGACAGGAATCTGAAGCTGGAAATCATCTCCTGAATATTAAACACCAAGTGCAGCTTACTCGCCACGTCTTCCTCCACCCCATCCCTAAAGAGCCACGGGCACTGCTCTTGCAGACAGGAACCTTCACTGATGATTCTTCCAGAAATTACATGGTCTCAGGCATGCCCCAATGGAACTGGAGGAGCACCCAAGTGGGACCTTACCTCCCACGTAGGAGATGGAGAAGCCCCTCTTGGCCGTGTTGCGGTCGGTGTGCAGGACCAGGAGCAGCCGGTTGCTGCGGGAGGTGACRGGTGCCAGGCTCTCCCGCCCACACCACCGTCCCAGCAGGGACCCATCCTCAGTGCCACCATCAAAGGCAGACAAGTGATCATAGTCACAGCCACCCGTCAGGCTGCTCCGGCCCTCCAGCTCCATGTCCAGGAAGAACACTTTGATCCTGTAGCCCGGGGGCAGGTGGATGCTCCACTGGCACTTGAGGTTGTTGGGGTAATAATTGGGGTACTGAGGGCTGGAGAAATTCCCTTTGATGGTGGTGAACACTTCCTGGCACTCACCTGCTCAGGAAAAAATGGAAAAGAAAAATCAAAAGCAAATCTGAAGGTCCCTGGGTATGGATGAACAATCGCTTTTATCGCTCAAGGATGCTCTGCCCTTCACCTCACTGCTCCCAGCCTTGTGTTGGCTGAGGGACAGCCAGCAGTTTTGGAAGGTAGAAATTCCCAAGGTAGCCAAAGTCATGGGAAAACCCATATTCCCAGGAAATGGCATGAGCAAGGGAGAAGGGCAACTCTTGCTCAAGAGAAGGCCAGCCCAGGGCCTGGGATAACCACAATGATGCCATTTGCATTGTTTGGTTTACATTCCACACCATCAGCTCATGGGCTCTCCCCAAAAGGATCCCCCCTTATCATCTCTTGCTGCTGCGGGGGACAGAGAATCACCACCCCAACCCAGAGCCTGTCCCCGCTGTCCCATCACCCTGAGACCCACACACCTGAGTAGAAATGGGCCTTGAAGCCCCTGCCACCGATGTTGAAGTCYGACTTGAAGATGATGAGGAGGTGCGGGGTGGAGGAGACGGTGCGGGGTGGGCGGGCGCTGCCACAGTAACGCCCCAGCCGGGGGGCAGTGACYGTGGGGCCATCGAAAAGGGCCACGTAGTCAAAGCCACAGCCTTGGCCCCCCTCCATCTGGAAGTCAGCAAACACCAGGGTGAGGGGACCGCCACCGCTGGCCCCCCCGATGCTCCAGCGGCACTCGGCATCGTTGGGGTAGCTCTCGGGGTAGCGGGGGCTGGTGATCTCCCCAGACAGCCCCGTCAGCTGCCCACCGCAGGCGTCTGCAAGGAGGCAAGGATGATGAGGGTGGTGCGAGAGGATGGATGGACGCTCCGTGGCCACCACCCCTCCCCGCTACCTTTCCTGTAGGCGGCGGCGAAGCCGTGCTTGGCCACGTGCCGGTCAGAGCGGAAAACCACAGCCATGACGTGCCAGGCGGAGGAGAAGGGTGGCGGGGGGCTGTGGCCACAGAAGGTGCCCAGGAGGTTGCCCCGGTCGCGGGAAGCCCCGTTGTAGACCTGCAGGTAGTCGTAAGCGCAGGCGTCGTGGTACTCGAGCTCGAAGTGGCTGAAGGAGAGCAGGACGGAGGAGCCCTCGGCCACCACRATGAGCCACGTGCACTCCGTCTCGTAGGGATACAGCCCCGGGAAGTTGGGGCTGGAGAAATTGCCAGAGGGTGCYGAAAGCACTCCCCCACATTTGATGCCTGGGGGACACAGAGGTGGGTGTGATGTCCCCTTTCCAGGGGAAGCCTGAAAGAATGGAGATGGGATGCACAACACCAGCTCCATCCCACCACGAAACCACCCAAAAACCAGCGTCCTGCAGTGGGCTTGTCCACCCACTCTCCCTGGAGGACACGGGTGTCCCCACCACCTTTCACCCCTCCATGCAACACCTTTTCCCCATGCTGCACTGTGGGGGCTGCAGCAGAGCTCAGCTGTGCCCTTGAGCTTGTCCTGCCATTGACCTGTTTATGGCTGGGAAAAAAGGAGTTTTAAAGTCTCTGTGGTACCAGACTTGCTGATGCCCCAGCTGCCCAATCCTTCAGCTTTGTGCCCCCACTGGCCATRCTCCCTCCATATAATGGTGGTGTCAGAAAATTTGAGCTGGGAGAAACASAAGTGAAGGGCTCGATGAGCTGAACAATGAGTTATGCATGTAGGGATCGATTTCCTAATGAAATCTTTATACTGAGACATGGTTATTATAAAATAAGGCTGAGAGGGGGCCGGCTGTCACCTGCCCCTGGGTCTGATTAGGGTTGGGGTGAAGAGGCTGATACAGGGGGCACATAYATCATGTCTGGGAGGGATGCAGACCCTGTGCAGCCCCCAGGAGACACGTGTGGGTTCCCAAACAAGGCTGGGCGCTCGCTGCCATCAATCTGGGCCAAGTATATTGCAAATCAATAGTCWGCCTGTGCACATTGCTTTTCATCCTGCTCACTGGCACGGTGACCTCGCAGCGAGGTGGGTCCTGGGATGTGTGGGATGCAGCACCACGTGTGTGTTTGTGTCTGGGCAGATCTAAAATCACCTTGCTAATTACTGGGGATAGGCAATGAAGTAATATGGGGCTGGTACTAAAGGAATAATGTTGAAATAAACACCCAAGAGAGGAGCCTGCAGGAGAGGCAAGTAGCCACAGTGCAGGCAGAGGGGTGGATGAAGGGCTGGGAGGTTTGGGGTGCTCTGGGAAGCCCAGGTGGGTGTAGGTGGGGGGTGAGCAGGCACCACAGGGCAGTGGTGTGGCCTCAGAGCCCCCAAACCAGAACCAGGGATTGGGTTTTGATCTCTGGCACAGCCCTTCTGTGAAACCCTTCAGGCCTTGCTGTTTTTGGGATGGGGGATTGCTTGGCCCACCCAATCCCCCGAATTACTATGTCACCTGCTGACCCTGCCCTGCATCCTGGGGACATTTTATCTGGGTAAAGTGAGAGGCTATTGCAYGCCTGCCACATACACATAAATGTACATGTCTATATAGATTTATACAGGYAAGTRCAACTSCAGAAGTGRRCAAACCCTTCCCCAAAGCACCTGTRCACCACAACAGGACAGCCCCTACCTGCAATCCTCAGCAAGGTGAGCGTGAAGCAGAAACCTGGGCACAGAGCAGTGTCCCACACTTGCTGCCATCACACACAGTGACTCCAGACCCCCAGCCAGCCCCTCTGCCTGCAGGAGAGCTGGAACCCACTTGCACCCCAGAGCCACTGTGGCACCTGCAAACGGCCCTCCCATCCTCAGGGACTGTGGATGCCCATCCAGCCCACTGGGAGCTGGGACCAGGCTCTTACCTCTGCTGGGAGCATCCCCAAGAGCCCTGCAGAGCATGGCCAGCACTGCCAGGCAGCCCAGCCCTGTGCACCCCATCCTCCAGCAGGCAAATCTCCCCTCACCAGTGCCCGAGCATCCTTTTGGAGCTGTCTGTCTGGGAGGAAAAAAATAAATAAAGGGAGAAATAAATAAAAAGCAGGAGGACTGTAGAATTAATAGCGGAATGAATAATTCATYGCTTGTTTGAATTAAGAGCAGCAAGGTAACTTGATCTATTCCTCCCTTCCTTCACTCAGTTTTAATGATCTGGATCAAATGTCCCAAGGATTTACACTATACCAGATACCTTGTCAATACACTATATTTAGAAGAGATATTAATGTTTCAGAAATGGTGTATAACGGCAATAAGTCTGGGCTGACAATATGCCCTTAAGGGGCTATGAAAATAATTTAGTTCRCCAGGCAAGCCAGCGAACCAAAATGGGAATTTCAGACTTACCGCGGAAAAGCATCTCAGGAATTAACATGATTTATACTGCGGCACCCAGTGCACAAAGCCAGCTGGTGGCGAAGGCTGGGGGAACGGGGAGCGGGATGGAAACGCGGCCGCGGCTCCGCGCCGGCTGCCAGGTCAGCATCCCTGCAGYGGGAGCCCAGGCTCAGCGGGATGCTCAGCCCGGGAAAGCGGCAGTCGTGAGCGCTAAAGATAGCAAATCCCACCTCCCCCGAGGAAGATTAGAGATGAATTGTGACTCATGGGCAAAAAACATCGATTATTATAGAACCTGCTAAGGCCTTGGAGAATTGCCACGTTCTTCCGTGCTGGCTCACGGTACTTCTCGCCCGGGCTCTTGGATGCGCTCGGCTGAAGGTAACCAAGCCTTTGGGTTTGGTGGGAAAGACGTGCTCCTTGTGCTGTGCCACATTAACTGGAGAAACCCCAAACCCAACAGTRGCTCAGTTCCTTCCCTCCCGCCCAGGAGAGAAAAGACTTTCCTGCTGCCACAGCCCACACCCACATGAATGCCAGGAAACAAAATCCCACGAGGGCCTCCCAGCGTGAGGGACCTGTGCTAAAAAAGTCACCTTCAAAGCAGCAGGGAGAGAAGCAGCGAGTATCTCTAAATCTCAGGCARGAGACAAGTTGCATTTATTAATTAAGCAATGAGGATCGATGCCCGAGACATTTCCTGTGGATTAATGATAGGCTGGGAGGAGCTGATGGCCTGAGGTGCAGCTAAAGACCATTAACGCCAACTGGTCATGAATCCCTAGGAAATGCTCCATGCCAAGGTTGTTAAGTGCCTGCATATATTTATGGGGAATAATAACAACAATAATATTTGTACAGGCTCTSTCCCTGCTGCCCAGCCTTGCTGGAGCCATGCCGAGGGCTGCTGGGAGCATTGGGACATCCCACCCAGGAGCCCTTATCCTAAACTGGAACATTGGGTTCTGTCCTGGGGCATTGGACGCTGCGTCACCCCACCAGCACCAGGACTAAGTGCACAATGGAATGAGGAGGAGCAGGGCACCTCTCCCTGTACTGGGCACTGTCTGAGGATCCTGCCCCAGCGCAGGCCCTGGGAGATGCTGTGATGCTGGCACATCTCCTGCCAACCTCCCAGAGACTCTGCAGAGCTTAATTAGCTGCTTCTCTAATGGCTTGGAGAGAACGTCTGTCCTTGTCAACAAGTGCGGGCCCACACAGCAAAGATGCAGGAGAGGTCTAGCTGTGGTGCAGGGGCCTCTCCTGGGTATTTTCCATTGCCACAAGCCTGGTTTATCCAAGAGAAGTGCCTGACCCTCCTGGCCACCATTCCCTGGTCTCAGGGACAAGGTGCTCCCCAACGTCTGCGCCACTGCACTATGGAGCAACCCATCCATGCCGATTGCATCCATCCCAAACAACACCCACCATCCTCCAGCCTTTCCAGCACTGCCTCAGCACCGAAGCACATCCCAGCAGAGCAGTGCCCAGGATCCAGTACCTGCACAGCTGCTCCTGTCCCTCCCCTCAGTTGTGCTCTGTATCAGCCATCCCCCGGGAGAAGGCGGCCAGGGCTGTGCAGCACAGCAGCTGTGCCCCGCTCCCAGGAGACGGCATCCATCAACCACCGGCACATTCACCCTTCTCCTGACCCGGAGATGGCCATTCCCAGGCTGGGCCTCAGCCCAGGCAACCCGGTTGTCAGCTGCAGARCAGAGTGGGAGGGTGGAGGGAGGCAGGGGGAGAGTGATGTGCAGCAGGGAAGCAGATCCCGGTKCTCGGGATCAGCCCAGGGTACCTTGGCTCTGGTGGGTGATTTCGAGGTGTGCAATATCGGGGCTGCCTCCATTCCTCTGTGAGCAAATTTAAAAGCCATGAGTCAAAAAGGCATTTGATTCATTTGAACAGAAAGGAYGTGATCAGGACTGTGAGACTTCAGAGAAGATCAAAGGTTTAAAAAYGGTCCCCAGGAGAAACGGGAATTATTTAGGCAGGAAATAATGAGATGAAATTAAGAAGGTATTTAGGCTGCACATGAGGAAGAAGAAAGGAAGAGAAGAGAAGCCCYTCTCTCCAGCACAGTGCTGCACGGGTGGCAGGGGCTTCCTGGGGGCAGCCAGAGAGCAGGAGCATCCCACCAGCATCCCCCTGGCAGGCAGGAGGGGCAGGATGTGAATCCCTACCCTGGCTGGGGTCTGTCACCTGCTCCTGCAGGGAGCTCACACCCCTCCAGCTCCACAGATGCCCCAACAAAACCGACACCGCTTCCCCACGGAACTGCCACCACGGCGGGTTCTGGGCCCCCCAAAGGAGGGAAACCTCTTGTCTTCCTCTGGTAGGGAAAATTCTGCCCGAGAGCCTTTCCACTCACATCCCTGCATTCGCAGGAATCCACGCTGTCCTCTGAAAGGGGCTGTCCCCATGGGGGATGGTTGGGATGAGRGGACTCGTGTAAGAGCCAGCCTGAGAAACAACAAAAGGCGGGAGGGGGAAGGGAGGGAAGGGCAGAAAATAGAGAACAAAGTGCCTGCGGGCGGTTGAAAGGCTCCTTCGAGTTCCTGCTTCCAAGGACATCATCTCCCCCGTGGAGAATGTCTCGCAAAGCCCCTGTCCCCTCGGGCGGGACATGCCCCGCTCCTCCCGCTCGGCCGCAGCCCGCCCTCGCAGGATGGCAACCCGCAGCACTCACAGCTTGCTCCGTCTCTCACCACCCTCCCTTTGAGCCAYGAACAAAGACGGAGCTGCGCGGCAGAACGGCCGGACCAGCTGGGTAGGGTTTAACCATCGTGGCCCATATGTGCTGAAATACCCAGACATATTGGGGTTGTGTTTAAAGGAACAGTCCCAGCTTTCACGCAGAAAGCCGGCGCTTTTCCAAGGCGAGCGTGAAGTTTTTTACCTTGGGCCTTTGCAAAAAAGGTGGGGTGGGCTTTTAGCAAAATCTCAAAAAAACAGAATATTTAAAGCAAGAGGTATAGAAGAAAGGTTTTTGAATACTTAATATCTGACACAAATATTTTTTCCATGTTCCTAGCTAAGGCCAAAGTAGGGAGAGGAACTGTAGAAAGCATCTCGTTATTTTATCACCCTCACTATACAGTCACTTAGGGTGGCTGAAGCACAGCTTGGACTGGGGATGAGAGCTTGCCTTGGATTGACCAGGGACAACTTCCCTGGATATCTCTGCACTGAAAGCCAGAACCCTATTTTAGGTTAGGAAGATGGCTTTCTTGTCAGCCCTTGCTCCAAAGAAGTTAACATAAAAGCCTCAGCTACACTTGATTAATTCCAGGCATTTGGTAACTGGAGACAAATCTCAGCAGTGCAAAGGGAACTTACACTCCCTCCCAAATGTGTGAATCGAGCCACCACTTCAGTGCACTGCATATTTTGTGTAACAAATTACATCTCCTTTGTGTAAGGTGTAGTAGTAGAAACAGGTACAAAAGAAGCATGAATGATACTGCAGCAATCATCAGACACAGCCTGGAAAACCCCAACATGGCACGGACTGGGAATGAAAGATAAACTCAAGGTGTGCAGAAAAGTTTYCAGGTGTAGATAGTAAACAGAGTGGTCTAAGAAGGTAAAAGAGTGGACAGCAGATACCTCAGAGGAAAAGCAGAAGCATTTTGGACTGAAGAAGAGAAGGACCAGGTGCCCAGGCTGGGTGCTGTACCAGGCTGCCATCTCTGAGGCAGGAGAAGCACCCCAGCAGATCCCAYGCAGCTTTCCCTCCTCAGGTGGTGTTCCTGGATGCTTAGAGAACCTCCTCAGGCACCTGGGAGAGTCCTGTGACAACACCAAACAGCTGATTATTTGTAAWCAGGTTCAATTTAATGAGCCAGGGCTGCCATACAACACTTTGGGGACACTGAAAGCAAATCACCACCCTCCCTGACAAACAGCAGCCACAATCCAGCCACGTTCTCCCAGTTTTAGGACATGCTTTTTGTCTCCCAGGTTGCATTTCAATGGTTAAGCACAGGGTAGGTAAMACAGGCTGTGCCAGGGCAGAAGCTCAGCCTGCCCAAATCCTCACTGGTCATAATGTATAATTCCATCCTTATGGATCATTTTTCCATATATAGTTGGAAAGGCTGTTTTTAGAAATCAGTGCCATCTTCTCTCCGTTAGTGTATGATGGGGCAGCTGAGGAACAGCAAGGTTGAAGGGACTTGCCTGACATCATCCTGCACATGCCAGAACCACAATGATCCAGACTCTGCTGTTCCCTTGACCTGGCAAGAATCCCTAAGGATTAAATCTCCTCTGGACACCTCACAGGGCACAACATCATTGCAGAWTAACACAGATTGCAAAGCAAGTCACCAATCTTCATATTACAGCAGAGCTGTGTTCATGGATGCTTTTTAGTACCCCCTTAGGAGATGTCTCTTTAAAATTGCACTTGAAGACTTCCATTARAATTACCACACTGGTCCCTGAGGTGTGGGTGGCACACCAGCTACAGCAGCTCTGGAATGGCACCTGTTTCTGGAGACAAACAGTTGCTCCAAGGAGCTCAGTCTTCTGAGCAGGCCCATTTTGTGCAACGTCTGCAAAGAAGCAAGGACATCCAAGGCTCAGCCTATGGTTCCTCAGGTCAGGAATATCCTGCTAAAAGACAAAACAGGAATTTCCTTCAATTCCTGCAGCTTTCAAGTATCTACTCATATCTTCAYTGAATGCAGAAGAGCCACAGATCAATACAAATGGCTTTCTTCGACAGGAATTTATTATTGTCTTCATCAAGTCTTCATCGAGATGACCAGTGTATGAGTTTTCCTGGTAGCTCTGAGGAAGCTTTTCCAGCGAAGTTTCCTGGAAACAGAAAAGATTTGCCATGTGTGACATTAAAAACTGCCTGCTTAGAGCCCAATCTCYTTCCTCCCCTCAGAGCAGTGCACAGGGTGATTTTCACCCTTGTGACACCACATGGGTGACACTGACCCTTCCTGAGAGCTGCATTCCTCTTCCCAAGCCCAGATGAAATCTTTCCCTGCCATGGAATCTGGCCACTCACTCAGAAGGGACTGAACAAAACCAGAGTGTAACTATCACTAATAAATGCTGCAGAACCTTCTCCACTGAGAACCATCTCCCAGTGTACCTTTCCAAGTCCCAAATCTATTCCTCTATTGCCTCTCCCATTCCCAAGTCTCTCTCAGCCCCATCTCCCTTGACCAAAATCCTGCTCCAAATAYAGCTCTGATCCCGTGAGAAGTGTCAGATCCTGTGGTGCTGGATCCAGCAGGGACTCTCCTGCTGCAATTAATCAGGAGCAGAAGGTGCTCAGATGTGGTGGTGACAGGCAGCACAATGAAATACAGACAGATACATAACCCCAAGAGGGAAGATGCACGAGCCAGCCTTGGACTACCACAAGCCTGCTATGAGAGGAGGAGAAAGGGAGAGAGGAGGGGCAGACAGTGTTGACAGGGGTCAGGTGGGTTTCTTGCCCTTCGCTGATTGAATTTCAAGACCTCCTCATGCTCTTGAGACAGCACTCAAAGAGTTTAAACACCCTGAAAAGGGTATTTAAGCCATGTCAYCAGAGACAATTATGGTTATGCTCCTACAGAGCAGCTGAGGGGGTGCTCAAGTCGCCAGCATTTTTCCCTCTACCAGATCTCATCTTGCCGAGGCCACATGTGGAACAGAATGTATGAGAGATACAAAAAATGATTCATCTGAGAAACTAAAAATGCAATGGGATTCATTCCCTTAGCATAAATAATTCTTTCTATATCCTCCCTGCAATGAATCCTCATTTCTGACGGAAATAATTTTTAACCACCAAGCCCAAGCAGAACACAGGCAACTTTGGGACCAAATGGAAATGAAAAAGACTGCTCAAAATGTAAGACCACTGAGAGGTATGCCCTCATCCCATGAATGTGGCAAAAAAAAGTAATTTTACAGAGGGGAAAACAACTTCTAGAAGATTAAAAATGGGTCAGCAAGGAAAAATAATTGCTGGGAAGTTGGTGCCAGCACACCTGAAGAGAGCTTTAGCCATGAGCAACGAATGGAGGATAAGGACAGATTAAGGCACTGGTATTAGGGAGAAAAAAATTGTTTATCTGCTGTTTAGGTGCAGCAACAACTGTCTGAAATGGGAGGGAATAATCAACAGTGACCATGGAACAGCAGGTCCATCCCAACAGAACAGCTCCCAGGAAGGCAGAGAGGGACAAACAGTGATGGACAACTTCTTGAATTTCTCCAGACTACTAGCAGTGTGAGTACATGTAGCAGATTTAAGAACAACAGCTACTGGATCACAAATTAGGCTGGGTGACTGGGAAAGAATTAAGATCATGCCTATGGAAAAGTGGAGGAGGCAGAGGCTCATCCAACCCTCACACAGACACACTTCACATCCATTTATTTACCTGGCTTAGGACATAAAATATTCTGATGTTCCAGTACCGAGCCAGATCCTGCAGAAGAGGCTTCAAATAAATTTTGTCAAAGGTAGGGAAGCAGCCAACAAGAGTTACAAAGGTTTCATCCTCTTCATCATCTGTTATGGACTGGAGGATGGGAATCATTGGTGCAAGGCCGGTGCCAGAGGCCAGCATGAGGAGTTCTCCATGCTAACAACAAAACAGAGAATTTGGAATGAGCTGTGGAGGCTGGAAATGGGTGTGCTCACGGTCAGTTCCTCTTGCTCACAGACTGGTAAAGAATCTCTGGAGAAACAACACATCAGAAGGTCACAAACTGGTAAATTCAAATCTCAGAATGTACTTTTTTTGCAAAGGATTACAGATAGCACTTAAGGGGTTTACATATAAAATGTACCAAAACTAGATTTTACCCAAATATAATAAATTATCCTAACTTTAGCCTTGATTTCATTTAATTGATGTTTCAGTTGCAATTCTGCAGTACATTTTGCTGACCCTCTGCGTTTTCTTCCACTGGAAATGTTCCCTGGGTTTCTCTTGGCTGCTGCAAAGCACAATCCTGAATGTCCTCTGGAGGAACTGCGTTTTTGTCCATACTGATCTTCCTCTGCTGCATTATCTGTTTTGTCAGAGCTACCAGCAGCTTCCCACCTGCAAGGGGGACATTCACTCTGCTTGGAATAGGGATATTCAAGCAGTGTGAACACAACAAAGTGTTGTGTATAGGAGGACAGAAYGTTCCCAGCACTTTTCCCAGTTGCCAGCCACTTTGTACCAATGCCAGAACTGGGACTTAAGCTCCTCAGAAGCTCCTTGTGCTCTGTTTTGACTGGGTATTTTATTGTGAATGGATCTGATCTGCCTGAATCTGAGTCCTATTCYACTGGCAGCAATAGAGAAATTAAAATTTTACCATGAAATTCAGAACATATAATTCCTAAAAAAGTAGTTTTCACAGGAATTTGTTTTTTTCAAACTGCATGCACACAGATCACAYACCACAGAATATTCTGAGCTAGAAGGGATCCACCAGGATCTTCCAAGTCCAACTCCTGGACCAGCACAGGAGACCACTTCTAGRCAAGATTGCTATTTTCTTTCCCAAATTATTATCTAGAAGCTCTTGGAAGGAAATAGTGGCTTAAACCAACAGGGAGAGTATGTCAGGAAGCAGGACACAATTGCTCTGCATAGAGCGTGGCCACTGAGATTTTACTTATTTTTGTTGGGGGAAAAAAAAAGCCAAAAACAAATCCACCAAAAACTCCACAAGGCTTTGGCATCTTAATAACCAATATTTCAAATTTGCTCCTCATCTGAAAGGTCAGAATTAAGTAACTGATTTAGTGTGTGAGAAGCCTCCCCCTGAAACCAGATCTGCCCTTCCCTGCAGCCAGCCTGRTACTGGCAGGTGGGATCAGCGTTTGGGGAGCGACCTGACACCTCAACAGCTCAGGGAATACCCAAGAGAGGGGAAGATTAACACCTCCCCTTCGCTTGTGCTCAGTCACAACACATKGATGTGGATCAAATCAGACAAAAACCCATCCACACTCATTGTYGGTGCAAGGAAACTTCCTTTTGTTAGGCACATCAGGAACTTGTAATGCAAGTGATGAACACAGAGCCTTGCTGATATTTTCTTATCTCCTATCCACCTCCTCTTCCCTTTTAAATATTCTGCAGTTCAAGARGGTGCTCCAACTGACTGCTAATGCTGTCACACTGTACAATACCCAGGAAATCTCTAAAATAATCACGAAAACAGTAATCAAATTGATGTCTTCCTTTCAGAATACTGAACAAAGCTAGCTGCCACAGGCTGAAGTGTCCTATATTTTTTGGGGACTAACCTTATTAGGTTCATATGGGAATCCTCCAAACGGCCCACGCCAAAAGACCACGTCTCCTCTTTTCCACGTTTTTATGTATTGTGACATTAGCCCAGCTTCATAGCACTAATAAAAAACATGGCACAAAAGAAAAGAATAATTATACTCCATTGGAAAGTTTCCCAGCTTAAAGTCGATTATAAAGTTATCTACATTTAAACGAAAAGGGGACAAAAAAACATTTTGCGTGTTTAAGAGAAAGAAAGATCTTTCTGTTTGAAAAATAACTCAAAGTTATACCCAAAACAAAGACATTTAAATTAAATCATATTGGAACCACTCCAGCTTGACTATAATGTAAACACAATCCCCTCTCATGCAGCCTGAATTTCCAAAACTGGAAAAAGCTTATCAGAGTTCTTGCTTACAAAGCACACAGAGAMGAGTGTCTTGAATGCAAAGCACAGTGCAGGCCTTCAAGTGTTCTCCAAATCTCAGGGTATGGGGTCTGGAAATGCCCTCTGGGTAYGGTTAGTTATATAAACACTGCATAGCTCTTGCTTTATTTCAGTCTCTCAGATGCTGTGCTGATACAATTAGTGACCCCAAGTMAGGTTTCTCATTTGTAAAACTCTCGTTTTCGGAACAGATCATCTGGATGCTGAGAGATGCCTCCACAATTCCAAAGGAATATGTTAGCATTGGCCCCATGGAAGAAAAACATGAGCAAAAAAAACTGCCTTACTTTCTACCAGACACAAAGAACGCTATCCAGGCTGTTGCCTGCAGGAATGCTGMTCTCACTCAGGACTGATGAGAAGGGGTCAGTGCTTGCTGGAAACAGGAGGAGAGKCTGGAAATTGAAGGGCTCACCCAAGCAGCCTTGTTGCCATCCATGCCCAAAATATGTGACCACTGGATGTTTAAAGAGAATAAACGTGAGCAAAAGAGTGGCCACAGTCCGGGATACAGAAGAACCAGGACTGGCCCAAGCAGCAAGAGCAGAAAAGCCCAAAGCTGCAGCACACGATGGGTGTCACGAAGAAAAMCCTAGGGAAGAGCAACACAACCAGGGGCCAATGTGATATAAGCCTTTGGTAACTCCAGCCCACACAAAAGAAGTGTATTTGGGGGTATTTCCTGCACAGGCATTGGAGAGAAGCCGGGCTCCACACCCCAGTGCCTTGGCTGGCCACCAAGCTGCACTGCAGGCAAACAAAATTGGTGAACCACAAAGCAGCTCAGAACAAGCGAGTGAGGGAGCCTGTGCTTGTGCTTGCAAGCAGCGTCAGCTAAGAAAGAACACAGATGCTCCTCCCCTCCTAGCCCCTCACTTAAACCTRAGATATTAAGAAGCATTAGCACCAGTTCTTACATTCAAAAGGTAAATCACACACACATCCGGGCTCTGAGGTATTGTCAGAATCATTGTATGTTCAGAGGGCTCTGGGCAAGAGCTAAATCTCATGCAAACAATGTGCACTCGCAACAAAGAAGCAACTTTTATACTTCCCTTATTCAAACACATCCAGAAGCCGAGGGCAAGAGCAGAGAAGTTAGGCCGCTTACAGCCTATTCCCAAAGGACCGGGGTAATGGACACTAAAACAATCCTTCTTTCACCAAAATAATCGCCAAAAAATTGAAGTGAGAAGTGATTGAGTGGGTTTAAAGTGAGTTTTTCTAAATAAAAAGAAAAAAAAAAAATCTCCTGGGGGAAAACGTCCACACCCCGTTTTACATGGAGAGAAACCCTAACATTATAAAATCACTCAAAAAGAGGGTTATGCTCTGTAAATGGCAACTCCCTCACTCTTAACTGTAGTATCACAAATGCAGTGCTATAATAACAGGAGACAAGGGTTTGAACAGTGCTTGGATTGCATAGTAATAATAATATACTACTTTCCAAAATTGCCTCAATAGTGTGAAATATACCACAACCTACAGAGTGAGTTATAAAAATGGCTGCTTTACACTGGGTGTTACCAACCCCTTTTGTCACTGCCAGAGAACAACTAGAGCTCCTTTTGGGATGAAAGGTTCTATATAAAGGAAAGGTATCATTACAATCATTACTATTATTATTGAAATGCAAAACCTGTGAGTAATGAGCCGCTATACATGAAATTTCAGTCATCCTGTGAACATATCCTATTAATGCAACTCAAATGCAACATTTCTTTTCCCTACCACACGCCAATTGCCACAAGAATGGGGAAATGACCCTCCCACAGGTGTCCTAGAGAAGCTGTTCACTTTTCTAAAGAACAGGGTTTGTGTTCGAACACACACTGCATAATAAACCCCAGAAACACGAAATCCTGGCAGACAGGCAGAGGACAAGTGGCCCTTCTCTGCAGGCCACCTGGGAAACCCAGCACTCTGAATTTCACACCTGTACTGAAGTCTGTGTCTGCCCTGAGGAATGACTAGTGACATACACATGCAGTATTGGAAAAACGTTCAAGTCTATATTTGCCACACAAAAGAATCATTCATGAGTGCYCTGAAGACTTACGGGAGACAAATTTCCAGCCAAATCTCCTATAAAATCGTTTTGAACTCAAACAGCATTTTGTGGTTGTCTCCAGCAAGGCCGGGACACTTGTCCAAAATGGGCTGTGCCACCCTGTCCATCCTGATAGATGCAGCCTGTGCCCAAGGGACATTTCTCTGCCCCGTGAGCCAGAGTCCCTCTCAGACTGCAGCTCCAGAGTCCTGCCAGCACACCAGGAACAGCTGCCCACTGACAAGTGTGTTTTCCAGGTAAAATACAGGAGGGAGAATAAGGGCAAACACTTCCTAAAATCAGTGGCTCAGCTGGACTGACAACTGGGTGCAATTTCAAACAGAGCCTCAAAAAGCAAACTGAAACAAGGGAACTGGAATGGACACCTCTTTCCACCCATGGGACTCTCCCAAGTGCTCCCAGGGCTTCTGCTGCAAAGCACTTGTTTGTCAACTTCTGCTTTCAGTTTTGTGGGAAAAACTACAATTTTTATCAGCAAAGCACAACTTCTTCAAATCAACAGAGAAACGGTCCATGAGGGATCTGAGATTTTCACTTGAAGCACTGACACCATGCTTGTTTCCTAAAGAAAACACCTTAGACTCTAATCCATATTGTCCAGGCTTACTTACTTTAATTAGAACTTCAAAGTAACCTTCTGCATTCCTAGGGCTAATTGGAGTGTAGGCTCTCTGGACTTCCAAACCATTCATCAYTCCTCTGAGAAGAGAAACAGGAACCCCCTGTGACTTGGGTCATCTGGGAGCTCTTGCAGCTCTCTAGAAGACAGGGCAGGCAGCAGGTCCTCTTTGCAGTGGCCCAGCCTGTGCACAGGTACAAAACATTTCCCCTCCAGAGGCAGAAATCCAGGGGGAACAAAATGGCTAACAGCACCTTTTGTTCCCCGGTGGTGGCCTCAGCTGTACCACATCCAGCTCCAGGACACACCCCTGAATGGGATTTTGTGAGAACATGCAAGAATGGCAAAGGGGAGAGAAAACACTTCTGTGGTTAAGTTTGCTGTTCCTTTTGAGCTGGGGTAATTTTCTGCATCCAGTCAGCACCTGGTAATCAAAACACAAAAACCAAGGCACAGCCTTGACYTCAGGCCTTGTCAGTATAGACAGTATTTTCCTGTAAGTCTTCCCTTTCCATAGAATTATCCACCCTGCTCTTTACTACTAACCACGGGAATTGATTTAAGTGACCAAACCTTTTTCTGTGCTGTGTGATGAGCCAGGGCTGGAGGGAGGAGCATGTGCTGTCAGCAGAGCCAGCTGCACACACCAGCCCTGAACGTACCAGGGACGTCGACAGATGCACATCARTGGCATCCTAACAGGACTTTCTCTATCTGGCAATGATCACCACAGATGGCTGAGAGACAGAAACTTTCCCCAAGTGGCCCCTTTCTGGCATGCAACAAACGACACAGGAGGGTTGTTTTGCTAGAAATTAGTCAGGCAGTGCCTGAGTACTGGGGTGCTGAGTTACTCCAAGCTATAGGGCCTAAAATGCTGARCTCTGGGGCAAGGGCAGCTCATTGCCTTCATTCCAACACGCTGGAGTAAATAATCTGTTGTAACATCTATTCTTCAAGGCTTTCTTTCTGCAAATGGATTTTCTTAATCACACCTAGTTCTTTCTGACCCACCAACGCAGGGATAATGCTCAAGAAAACTACAGCTTTTACCACAGAATTAGTAGAGCCAGCGAGCTCACGAGCTCTTTCATCTGTGTCACTGTGGAGGTACAGAAATCATGATTTGCCTGCTATGAAGCCTTTGTCTATTGACAAAACCCTACGTGTTAGGTTACATAATGCAGACTGTTTAACTAGCACAGAGAACAATACCTTAACACGATATGTTGTCCTAAACTCAATCGCAGGCTGCTATTTCCCGGTAATTCAAATCTGTACTGGTAGGTGTCCTCTGTCAGCTGCTCCACCGAGCTCACGCTGAACGCAGTGAATGTATCTGGATTCAGCTCTGAATTATYGCTCTGCAAGAACAACAATAAATAATTACGCGGTTAGATGGTGTCTTTTATGATTTCATTTTTCTCTGGAAGTAAACGTGTGTGCTAATTTAGTGCCAGAGATACTCAGGACGTGTGTTAAACACCGAGGCCCGGCGCAAATTCCAGCYCTCTGCTGATTCATTATCATGTTCTGCAGCGTGCACTTTGGGATCTTGCATTTCTCCCCACCACCACCTTTTTAAATTACCTTTTTTTACACCTTACAGCAAGGTCATCCTATTATGACTCACTGCAATCATTTTCTCATGTCTGGAAACAAACAGAAATAATTCTGCTAAAAGAGCCAAGCGCAGCTTTGGGGGCAACTTTGCAACCAGCTGATGGCCACAGTGAACAGAAAATATTGTCAGTTGTTTCAGCTGMTCTTTTTTTGCTTGACCCAGCATAGTTAATCTTACGTAAAAGGGCACTGACAGGCTTAAAAATYATACTCTGAAGATAACTGCTCCACAACACACAACACAGATTTTTTTTCAGTTTCAGAATACGAGACTAAAAAAACAGGAAAAGATGAAAAAGGTGTAGAAAACAAAGCTTCTCCGAGGAAACTCGGAGAGAAGCTGCAGAGCCAGGGCTGTAATGCGACACCAGGGAGAACTCTACACTTGGAAAATCACATTACAGCAGGGAGAGAGCAGCCAAGGGGGAGGGTAAAGGCTGAGTTTGGGGAATTGCATTTACAACCATCTCTTAAGGCACCACTTGAATTTATCCCTGCATCCCTCACCCATCACCACAACCCCACACCCGAACAAGTACGATCAAAGCACAGGCTTCAGGATGCGATGAAAATAAATCGACCTCCTCCTTCTTTCCCATGAGAAGGCTTTTGTCTCGCATTGCCTTGGCTCTCTCCCACTGTGCAAGCTCCTTCTCGTACACATCGTAGATGCAGGGTTTGCAGCCGCTGCCRCAGCACTGGGATGGAGAAGGTTCCTGGGGCCTCAGAGCCAGCCAGTCCTGCTCATCGTCACTCATTGCCTGMAAAACACAAGCCCTCATTAAACCCAGTACGATGAAGAGCAGCGTGTGCTCGTCGGAGGACTGAGAAAATCTCTCTCGAGCATCTTGTATGTGTATCAAACTGAAAATCTGGAGCTGATCTGTGCCTGCAACACCTCATTTTTACTCCAGTGCTCAATGCCTGTGCATTGCCTGGTGCAGGAATCCCAGACCTTGCAAACACCAGCCCAGAGCCTCAGGCCCTCCTCCACAGCCCTCCTGGCTGCCCAGCTAWAGCTACACCCTTTAATCCTGCTCGTTCTGCCGTGGTGATTTCCTACAAAAGAGCAGCCTGGTCACCCGGAGCGGGAACATTTTAAAAACCTGCTTTTGGTACAGGATAAGGGGTGGCAAACCCAGCCACCAAGACAATGGTAACAAACCCAGACACCTGATGTGGCCTGAATTTTGTGCAGCTTTGGAAAGGGGGAGGGCAGCAACCTGAAAGCAGCACTTAGAGCCAAGACTCTTGAGGCAAAGAGGGCAAAGTCTCATGCAAACAACCACTTTGGTTATAGGCCCTGAATAATATGGCTTTAAACGCGGGCAGGTAGGAGAGGACAAGAAGCACAGGATTTTATCCCTTGCTCTCATTGCTTCTGAGTTGTACCCATTTAACTCCTCAGGCCAAAATCATGCTGCAGACCTTGCAGGGACCCTGCTATTTTTAAACATCGGCCGCGACAACGCTGTTCCCAACGCGTTTGYGTCCCTTGTGTTTGTATCCCTCGAACACAAAGCTGTCCACAGGAAATTATGAAGCCACGGGTGACCAAGCSGAGGAAGCGAACACTTAGCGCTTCCAGCTGCTTCATTGTCAAGGTCAATTAATTAACTAACCTTCACCCCTGTAACAGAAATACACTTATTTAAAGAAGGGGGATGGGGAACGGAAGGGAGAACCAAAAGCGACTGATTTGGCGTCCCACCGCGCCCGCTCTGTCCGGGGCTCAGAGCACCCATGGGCTATGAACGGGAGGTAACCCGACCTGGCCGCRGGTGAGTCCGAGACACCGGGGCTCGGAGCAGGGCAGATTTACAGAGTTTGGAGCACTTACTGTGCGCGCCCGGGGGCTCAGAAAGGCCGGCCCGGGGAACAGAACAGCCCCGGCCCCACACGGCCCTGAGACACGAGTGCTGACCCCGCGACTCCCGCCCAGGGACGGTGTGTCAAACACCCCCACGCTCCACCAGCGAGGAAGAACCTCTGCCCGCCCACCTCCCGCTCACCAACCCAGCAGCTGCCCTAAGCCGCCGGGCAATTTGCCGACCCTCCCTGACGGCGGGGCGCGCCTGCCCGCCATTGGCCGCCGCCGCCGTCAGTCTCCCGGGGTGACGGTGAGGGAAGAGCCTCGCCAAGATGGCGGCGCGCGGGCGCTGAGGCGGCGGCGGGAGGAGGAGGAGGAGGATGGCGGTGATGGCGGCGGGGCCGATGGCGCTGAGGCGGGCGGAGGCGGTGGTAGCGGCGGCGGCGTGGGGCCTCACCCGCGGCATCGCCACCCGCGCGGGACGGCCCCGCCACCGCACGCCGCTGCCGCGCACGCCTTGGACGGTGCGCGGGCCGCCGGCGGAGGTGCTGGCGGAGATGGGGSAGCGGCGGCCGGTGCGGGAGCAGGTGGAGCTGGACACCGTCACGTACGCGGARCGGCTGCACTATGTGCCCGGCCTGGCCCGGCCCCGCTTCCCGCCCTGGGACCGCGGCTGGCACGAYCCCTGGCACTCGCCGGGGCCGCGCTACGAGGAGATGCCGCTGTACAAGGAGCGCGGGTGCTTCATCTGCCATCAGGGTGTCCGCATGCTGGAAGGTACCGGACACCCCGCGCTGCCCCACGGCGCTGCCCCCTCCCAAGCACTCGCCTTTCTCCTCCTGCCAAGGGTTCTCGTGGCACAGAGTRTAAAACACGGGCTGTGAAGAGCCTGCCCAGCCCCATGAGCTGCCTAGTACACATCCCATAGAATGGCTTGGGTTGGAAGGGGGCTTGGAGGAGCACCTCTGATGTATCGTGTTGGGTTTGCTTTCCAGGAGTGCGGCAGGCACAGTGGCTCACCAAGACGAAGCTGGTGGAAGGTTTGCCCCCAACCGTGCAGGGCATTATGGATAACCCAGATCTTGGGCTCCAGGAGCTCGAGGAGAGGGCAAAACACGCGGTGTCCCACGCGCGGCTCTGGGACACGGCAGAGGTTGCTCCCAGGAGGGAGCAATATTGGTAAGTCCTCAGCTGTAGGGGAGGTTTTAAACACTACAGAGAAAATTCATGCACAGCTCTGCTGTGGAAAGACGGTGCGCTCTGCAAGACCCTTTGTGTCAGATTGTCAAACAAAAAAACGAGCAACCAAAGCAACARATAAAACCCAGTTCTGAATATTGACAGTAGCACTGACATAAACACTACGCTRCATTAAAGCTGCTTTCAGGCCAATGTCTGTTTCAACACAAGATCTACTTTTAGTTGGTGCAGAGTATCAATTTTTAAAATAATAATTGTAAGCATTACCTCTGCCAACTTGAAACAGGACTGGTGTGTGTGATACCAATCTACAATCTCTGTAAACTGGGAGTGTTATGCCATTGCATATTTTGCATACAGTAATTTTACAGCATTTGTGCCCCAGAAGCATCTGCCTGCTATTATGATCTCATTTTTATGTAACTGTGTTTTTTCTCGTTTTACAGTCCAGTGCTGTTTGAAAACTTGATACATATATGCCGGTTAATGTCTGGGAAGTATCCTTCTCTGAGTAAAAGGATGTTGGCTAGAAACTGCAGGATAGCAGCGACKTGGGAAAGAGGTCAGTTGCTGCTGTGGTGGAAGCATTTAGCTCTGTAAGRTAGGAGGGGTGGCAAAGCTCCTGGCTTTAAGGCTGAGAATTTGGAGAAAATTAAACAGTTTCTGGAACCAGGTAATTCTTTCTGGTTTGAATAGTGMTGTGGGCATGGGCAGCCTTGGATGATGGCAGGATGCTATCCTTGAGGAGATTATTAGGTGCTAGACAATATTGACAAGATGGTGGGAGAAGGGAACCAGTGTCTTAGRTCTGATTGTTTATTTTCTTGWGTCTTAAATCAGTACTATTGTTTTKCTAAGGATGTTTAGTTAAGAACTTAACCCTAGCAATTAACAGTGGTATTTTAGAAGAACCTACWCCTGAATTGTTATTTAAGATGGGTTTGGAGGTCAGGGGAGAGAGTCAGCCTTGCAGAACAGACTTGCAAAAGGAAATGTACATCAATCACTCCCTGATGTTATTTCACCAGTGTTTGACTGTAGCCTAATTTCCCTCCCCAGAATCCACCCTCCTTCAGGTCCGTGGGCTGAGTGGAATACTCATGAACTCTAAAACCCCAATACCACCAGTAGCCTCCAAGGAGGAGATACTGGCCACCAAAGCACATGTTCTGGAGACCTTCTATCCCATTGCRCCTACAATCGACCTTCAGGAGGTGAATGTGTACAAAGAGCTCAATGATACAGGTAAATCCAGCTGTTGATGACAATTATCTGTCAGTGTTTGGAGTCCTTGTTCTTCTGGGAGGTGGGAGTGTGTGTAATGGYCACTGGTTTGTAGTGCAAGTGCTCCAGACCTGTGGTGAGTATATTGTGGCCTAAACAGGACTGTGGAGCAAAACCCCAGAAAATCACTTTTAACACTTCCTGAAGATAATGGGAGAAAACCTTGGCTGTGTMGTGTCTTCCTGAGCAGTTTCTGACATGATTATGTGCCCCTTAGGTTTCAGAGATGGTTATCCCTACTCTCACCCTCACACCCTGTTCTTCCTGGAGTCGGCCAACGTTCGCACCGACAGGTTCAGACCAGAACAGCTCCGTGCTAAAATGCTGATGTTTGCTTTTGGCAACGCGCTGGCCAAGGCCAAGGCGCTCCACGGGGTACGTATGGGAGGCTGGGCTGGGCTGCCCTCCTTCCTTTAGTCCTTCTCACTAGTGGACAGAGGCCTGAAAACCCCTTACAGTAGTTTTCACATMCAACTTCCCAAAACCCATCCTCCAGAAACCCAGAAATCCACTGCTCAGCGATGAGCGTGTTTGTGTGGTGTAACATACACCAGGGTGGTATGGGCAGGAGCCATGGACTAAGCTCAGCTGTAAAAGTCTAACCCATCCCGCAGCTCAGTATGTAAATTGACACTTCATTACTGGCTGAAGGAGGAATTTTAATTAAAATACAAAATCTACATTCAAAACTTGTTTGACTAGAGTAATTTTCTGGGCAAGGTAACAATATATTTATTAAAATCTTGGCTTTAAACCAACCCAAAGATGCAGAATCAGCAAGTACTCATACAATTTCTGTTGTAACTAGCTTTTGAAACATTTTCCCCCACATGCCCTTTCTTTTCCTAGAATGATCCCAAGGTTTTGGAGCAACCAGTAGTGGTGCAAAGCATTGGCACAGATGGCCAGCTCTTCCAGTTCATGGTGTTCCAGTTAAATACAACAGACCTCGTCTCTAACGATGGCGTAAAAAATCTAGTCTGGATTGACTCTGATCAGAACCTGTATGAGAAAGCCCAGTGTGTCCCAGAAGTCAAGAAGGGAGTTGTTTTGGTAAGGAAAACTTGGGAAATTATCTGGAAATGCTGCCCTTTCACCTCGGCTGGGGGTTTGAGAGCTGRCACAGAGCTGCAGCAGGTTTTGAACCAGCTGGAGGGACCCGAAGTGGGCATTGGCCTCATTTTTACCCGAGCAGGTGTTTTTGAGGGGATCAGTTCCTGAGTGTAGTGCTGATGTTTTACATGCCAAGCTTAACATGAACTCCTACACGCAGATCTCCCCGACTGCAATCCACCATCTCATTATGTGCTTGTATAAAACCAGCTCTGATGAAGGGAGTRAAAGGATGAAGGGAGTGCTTACCTTCAACTGTCAGCCTTGCTGGGGAGTAAATAGAGCACAGGGGTGCCAGTACTGGTTGTACTGGGAGGGCATCTCACTGATGGGTGAAGGGGTTCTGCCCCCTTGAGATTGACACCAGTAGAAGTCCCCCCACACAAACCCTTCTGGGGAGGGAGAGCACAGTTTGGAAGCTGCCATGCCTGAAAGTCTTATTCAAGCATGTTTAAAGCCGTTGTTTGTCTACATTAATCACTTCACTGCAAACTGAGCATCCGTGTCTTTTTCTCTGCAGAAGCCCGCTGGAATTTCTGGCTTTCAGCCAGACACATTCAAGAAGTTTCTGGCACTGTATCTKCATGGAACTGTGTGAAATTCAGCTCAAATGAAAATACTTCACCAACTGTACCTGCTGCTTCTCTTTGCCAGAACTGTCATATAATTAAAGAAAGGTGGATTAATTTACTTTAAAAAATAAATTATATTGTGACTGAAAGTAAAAATTTTTTTWAACTAAATAGTGCATGAAGAAATTCTTTCATTTTAGGGGCTCACCTCTGGATTTGGGTTAGAGAAGTCATCAGATGCATCCTCCYGCACTCTTCCTCCATTGCCTGGGAAGAACACAAGCCAGTCATTATTCCTCTGCGCAGGCTCTGTTCTCAGTGTGCTTCTGCACAGAGCCAGACTCAAACCTATTCCCGAGGTTGCTTTGAGTCCCTCTGAATGCAGAAGAGACTCACAAAGCTTCAAGGGGAAAGCCTGAGCCACGAGCCTTTTTCATTCTGCCTGGCTTTGACTTTGTTTTACTCCTGGCTGCTGTGGGATGCGTCGTGCTGCCCTGTGCTTAGTTCCCAAAGCACTTAATCGGAGAGATGGCTTTGTTGGATCTGTAGAACCGCAGTCCTTTTATCCCTCAATCCTGGATGAAGAGACCTGTGCATTTGGGGAAGGTGGTGTAGAATGTAGCGGGAAACTTTGGTGCCTGTAGCTGGTATTTGCTGCTAAAAATACAAAGGAAGAATTTCTTCGTGCCACACAGAGTTAACTGAGCAGGAAGCGTATTCTTTTTAACATGGGGGGATTAGTGTGGGTTTTGTAAAATGAAAGCTAAATTAGCTGCAGCCAAATGTAGAATGTTTTGCAGTTCTGATACCCTCCAGCACATGGGAAGGAAGAGGACAGCCTGAGCTATTTTAAGGTGTGGGAGAGCACATTTCCAAGAAATTCATCTCACTTCAGTGTCTTGTGTCAGAGGTTGGTCTGTGCTTTGTGATCTCTGGCCATCTGGATGAGCACCCCGGTTGTGTTCCAATCCCAGTCCCTCAGGCTGGTTTCAGGGACATTCACKACTCACATTTGGGATCAACAATTGCACCCCATAAATCGGGATGCAACAGCTGCAAGTTAAATTAACAAATCCCTCCAGAGTCAGGGGAAGTGCTTGAAAAAGAAAAATAACCTTCGAAGTGTTGCATTTCTCTGCATCGTGTTCATCCTGCCTGCTCCASGGATGCCTAATTCAGCTCATCCGAGTAAATCTGCTCAGGTCTGTGATTTGCACCCAGGTGTTTGGGAATACATTTTAACACAGCCGTGCTCCGTGGAGCCTGACACACACAGTGGGTGTTTCTTTCTCGGGCTGTTGGCTCCCTGCTGTGTCACACGGACCCTGCTTGACATCCTCTCGCTCTTCCAGCTTCGGGTCATTACCCGTCCTAGGGAGGAAGCCCTGTAGGGCAGCCAGCTGCCTGTTAGCATTCCTGAGGAGGGATTTTCCCTGAGGAAGCCTGCTGAAGAGCGGCTGTGTGGGGAGGGGTTGTGTGGAGGTGAAAATCCTCATGTCCTTCGAGTAGATGTGGGAATTTGTGGGGATGGTCTRTGGACAAGAAGCAGAGTCCTTTCAGCTGCTTTTACCTCTCAACAAAGACATCTCTGTCAGGGCAGGCAGATGAAGAGAAGGGACTGAGGGAAGCTGGAATCCTGCTGTGTCCAAGCTGAGCTGAGACAAAGCRCKAGCACAGGGAGGGATGGACRGAGGCAGAGCAAAGAGTTTTGAAAAATAGCAGAAGCAGCGAGCATGGGATGGTCTGCGAGAAAACAGGCATCAGGAAGCCACTGAAGCTGAGTAAATCACACGCAAACACAAGAGGCCATGTCTCTGTTTGCTCAGGCACAGCCGTTCCCACCTGAGGCTGATGTCCCAGCTGATCCTCATGCAGGGAATGCTCCTCTGAGGGAGGAACTCAAAGTGGGGAGAGTGGAGCTCCCAGCTTGGCACCTGGCATGGGTGCTCAGGTCAGCCCCTCGTGGTCCATGAACCGAGTAACCCTACTGCCCGTCCGTGGTGTCCGTCCGTGGTGTCCGTCCGTGCTTCCCAAGCACGCTGTGCACAGCTCGGCTCTCCCAGTTCCTCCAGCATGGCCTCATGGAACAGACCCAGCCGAGAGAGGTGGGATGGGGAGCCCAACAATGGTCACAGGAGCACATCTGGGCTGGCATCAATAAGTTATAAAGGTTCGCCAGCAGACGAACGGCGTTACCTCAGCACGGACCCAGGGCCAGGCATTAACTTTTCATGAACGGCAGCCGGGGAAGCAGAACGGGCAGGAATGGGGTGGCAGGAGCCTCAGATGATGAGGCAGAGGAGCCTGGCTGCCCACAGGAGAGCTCTGCAGGACCCAGAGGAGCCTGCCTGCCCACGGGAGAGCTCTCCACCATTCCACGCTCCCTCCCCCTGAAAGGCTCCCTCTGCAAAATCCAGCTCCACATGATGCCAGCGAGTACACACCGTGCTCAGCCTGGAGCCCCCGGTTGTTCAGATCCTCCTCCTGCATTTAATTTAATGAAAACTAATGGGGGAGACAATTATCCCCGAGGCTGGGCTCAGGAGACATTCCGAGGAGGGAACTTGGCAGTTTCATGGYGATGTTTAATAACACCAGCCTGTAACCCTTAAGAACCAACAGGAAGGACTTTTCTGTGAGAACAAATCTCACGCAGCAGCTCCTGGAAGCGTTCTGGGCATCTGGCACTTGCAACCACCCCTCCAAAGGCCTCAAAATTCCCAATCTTTCCCCAAACGCTGCAGCAGCCTCTGAAGCTGCCCACTGAGGAATCAGGCTGGGTTGCCTGGGTTTCTCCATCCCTTGTAGCTCCTGGAGCTGTTTGTTCCTACATTGGTGCTCACACCCACCCAGCACCGAAGCTCCTGCCCGAGGAAGGGCTCACACCCTGCTGCCAGCACAATATTTATGTTTTTGAAAATACCACTGGTGTCTTCCCCTTCCTTTCTTACCTCTCAGTAGTGCAGGTCTCGGCAACGGGAGGTGGCAGGACCCAGCTCCTGTCCCAGGGAGCTGCTGCACGGGAGAGCCAACGCTGCCATCCCAACTCCTCCAGCCTCTAACCAGCAAAGCCTGGGAAACGGGGCACCAAAAAAATTTCCCTTTTTAGCCCCTAAACCCCTCCTCTCTGTCTGCAGCCTGGGTGTGGGGAAAGCAAGGGTCCAGCAAGCACATCCTCAGCACAGCGCAGACAACACTGACCGTTTTCTAGGCTAAGTTTTCAAAATGCTTTAAGAAAAACATTCCAAGGAACCAGCAGGCACRGTTAAACCTCCCACAGGTCCTGAACTGCAGCCAAACCCCTTTGGGATTTTGAATTCTCAGCCTGAGCCAGACCCCTACAACACCACCTTTTCAGCTCTGCATCACCTCTGCTCCTGCACCCCAAATGTGGGGTTTGGTCCTCGAGAAAGGTCGGAAAAAAAGACCCAACTCCCGCCCTGGGTCTGGCAGCAAACACCAGGAACAAACTGCAGAGCACCGAAATCAAATGTTTATGTTGATATTTATTACATCAGGAGGAGGGGGGAGAAGGGGGGGAACCGTTTCATTCAAAAAACCATCCCATACCAATGAAGACAATAATTTAGGTATTCATTTTAAAACACATGAAAACCGGTCCTTTTGTTTCCTCACGTCAGAACAAAAAAGAAAAATTTTTAAAAAAAGGGAAAAAAAAGCCCCAAAACCTGAACAAATGGAAAAGGTAAAAATTTGACCCCTTGGGGAGCCCCTGGGTACTTGGAAAATATTAACCTGACTGTAACTATGAGACTGACACCCTCAGACCCCCTGTCCCACCCGCCCCTCCCTCCTGACTTTCTACAGGTAAAGCACAATGAAAATGCCTAGGAAAAAGAAGGCAAACATTTTAAAAAAAAAATCGTATTACACACTAAAAAAAGAGAAGTTTTGTCATCTCATGTCTTGCAGCCAGAATAATAAAAACAAGCCAAATGTCCCCCAAAAACATTTCAATGAAGGGGTGCGGAAAAAAGACATCCCTTTAATAAAACATTATCAACAAATATCGTACACAAACTACAATGTATAATAATTATTTTGTTTTTTTTTCCCCTCTCGGTAATTTTCGAACCAGACTACAAGGTAAGAAAAAACACTGAAACAAGATACAATGCTTTCAATAATCCGCACAAAGGTCAAATCCAAGGGAGAGAATATTTTACAGAATATGATATACATGGAGCAGAAATGGGAGCTGGAGAAAAACAAAGACCAAACTACAGGGTAGTGTCATGTACAGAGATCCCAACCCGCCGCCTTGGCTCGTCCCTTCCTCTCCCACCAGAAGGAAGGGCCTTYGATGCTTGCCATTAATTTTTATTTTCTTATTACAGAGCGAGCCTACAGAATAGCAAGGTTACATTTTTAACAACAAGAATTCCTTAAAAAATATCTCCATCCAGTTCCAATTCACAGGTAAGTGAAATCCTGACAAGAGCACATCTCTAAAGAAAAGATCCCCCCCTCAAAACCCCCCCAAAGCAAATAAAACCCCCAGAAAATCCCAAAGTTAGCTGGAGATCACAGTTTCAAAGTCCCAGGTCACATTAACCCTTTTTTTTTCCTTGGGTGGATTTAAAAAAAAAAACTTTAAAAAATCGATTTTTGCAGTGAACCAGCTGAAGGACTCTGGGGAAGGGAGGGACAAGAGATTTCTTCTTGTWCTCAGAGGGGGGGGAAAGACTAACACAGTGCATGCCACAGTCACAGAGAGCAAGATCACGATTCATTCGAGGATGTGATCCTAGAAGGGGTTCACCTGCGTTAACAAGTTTATAACGAGGTGGTGGAGTCTCTTCCCCAAAGCAGATCTTGTTAACTGGAGGAGGAAGCGTTGTGCTGCAAACGAACAAAAAAAAAAAAGAAAA